CTGGGACTTAGTATGGCTTAGGCTTCCCTTTTAAGGGTACGACAGGGTTCTATAACAGGGTTTCTCAAAGGGATCTAGAAGGGTTCTGTAGTAGAGGATCATGGGACTTAGTAAGTATGGTTATAAGTACCTTAACTGGGGCTAAAAGTAATTATAAGTATAGTTACCTTAATAATAACCCTAGTTACTAAGTCCCATGATCCTTTAAGCAGTTGGATTGTGGTCAAGATCATTTTGTCAAAAGTCAAAAGATAACCCTGGCTCTATTCTGCTCGCGTTGAGGCTCAGATCTGGGGCTCAGTGGCTGAGGAGCCGGTCAGCGTCAAAGGCGGCGGTCGGGTGGGTCGAGTCCGACCACTCAAGTTGCCCTGAAGGTTTAAGATTTCGAGTTGAGGGTGTAGGCTTACAGTTTAATGTCGGAACCTGATTAAGAAACCCTGGGCCTATAACCCCAAAATAGTAGGATTCATATAAGGAGCCCTAATACATGCCCAGGGTTTCTTAACCAGGTTCCTACATTAGGGTTTAGGGTTTAGGAATTTCTGTAAGGGCTCCGTTGGGGTTAAAAAACTTGAGATCTCCCTTGGGTCCCAGGATTTCTTGAAGGGTTCCTGGGGGTTTAAGGCTTTTAGGGCTTGAGGGGTTTAGGGTTTAGGGAATGCTTGGGCCAACGTCTGGGGCTTATGGTTTAGGGTCGAAGGATTTGGGAGAGAGTTCCTTGAAGCGTGCTGTTGAGGGTTCCTTTTAGGGTGAACGTGCATTTGCGTGGGCTTCATAGGGTTGCATGAAGGCTTTGCGGTTAGAGGTTCCCTTTATGGGTTCCTGTTAATGATGCTTAAAGATAACGATGAAAATCTTTAAACCCTAAACCCTGAACCCCTAAGCCTCAACCCCTTAACCCCCTTAAGGAGCCCTTAAAAGGAGCCCTACCCCAAAGCCAGTTCCCCCTACTTGAAGGATCATGTGACTTACTAATTGTGGGAATTATCATAGGGAAACTATACTTAAGATTACTTGTAACTCCAATTAAGGTAGTTAAAACCATACTTACTAAGTCCCATGACCCTCCCATTCTAGAACTCTTATAGATCCCTTCAAGGATCCCTTGAAGGAGCCCTTCAAGGAACCATACCTACTAAGTCTCATGATCCTCTACTACAGAACCCTTCTAGATCCCTTTAAGGAACCCTGTTGTAGAACCCTATAGTACCCTTAAAAGGGAAGCCAAAGCCATACTTATATACTAGGTCCCATGATCCTCAAAGCAAAGAAAGACGGCAGAGCGAGCCTGGACCCTAAACCCTAAAGCCGAAACCCTAAAACCCCTAATCCTACCTACCTTCATCCCTCCTTTCCTAAAGCCGAAACCCTAAAATCCTTAATCCTACCTACCTTCATCCCTCCTTTTGAGGCCTCCTTTAAGGCTCCACGCAGTCTCCTCAGAAACCGCCTCAACTGGCGCGGGCCTAGGTTCCCTGCCGCACTTTGAAGCTGAGGCTCGTAGCCTCTGCGCGCTGCGCGCTCTGGCGCCTGAGGATTCCGGCGTTAGTGAGGGTCTCCTCGGCATCCTTAGACCAAGAGTGCCAAAGACAGTCCACATCCTGCTTGGCTCTAAGAGCCTCCCATTCCTCAGCAGAGACCGCAGTTTCGTGCCAAACAGAAGTAAGATCCGAAGCTTCCGTAGACTGAATGACAGAACGGGCTCTACGAAACTCCCACGCAGGAGCGTTGCGGAGAGAAGAACAGGCCCGAGAGGAGGCAAGCATGCCCTCATGTAGGGTTTAGGGTTTAGGGTTTAGGGGTTTAGGGTTTAGGGTTTAGGATTTAGGGTAGGGGTTCAAGAACGTCACTGTGGAGAAGCTCCTGCCCTGGGCCCCGCCCGATAGAGTCAACCGGCGTAGTGCCAGTGATGTGTCTAGCCGTGCCAGAAAGCTGAGTCCCAAAACCCTTAAAGGGAACTCCAGAAAGTTGGAATATGGTTTCAGGGTAGGATACCTTATAATTTACCATAGAAGGGTTAGGATAATCATATTCCAACTTTCTGGCTTTTACTGTAATCAAATCTGGAAGAGGGCTCTCGGAAGGATTCAAATTGCAGTCCCCTCCAGCAAGCCAGGGTCTCTGCACAGCTGCCTGGATATGCTTCGCAATCGGCTCGAGAACGTCGAGGTGGGGTCCCGTCAGGGGCAGGGAGTGCCCGTGAATAGCAACAGAGATGCACTGGCCATACTTGCCCGCGAACGAATCAAGAACGACCACCTAAAGCGGGTCACGGACAATAATGGCCACTCCTCACCGCACACCAACGGTGGCTGCTGGAACCCCCACAAATTGCCATTCTAAAATGGAAATAAATACTCATGGCTGGCCACTGGGTGGTGGTAGTACCAGTTTCTTGCAGCTCGCTAAGGAATCATCTAGTCCCCTGTTCCCCAGTGAAGAAAGACGACAGAGCGAGCCTGGACTCCGACATTATAGCGCTCTCAGAGATTCTTTGTAGAACCGGTTTAGGGTTTAGGGTTTCCCTTGACTATACTGAACTTAGAACCCCAACCCAAACTTTTAATTTCAGCTGTTTCTTAGGGATTATAATAACCAAAAACTGAATTTATTTCTAAGTACCCCGAAGTTGAAAGGAACCCTATTCTAATTATTAAGGCCCCTACCTAGACCCCTCAACTACCCTCTAATATACCCCAAATACCTACCATTAGAGGCCATTAGGGCTCGGGGCCCCTTTAGTGAAGAAAGACGGCAGAGCGAGCCTGGACTGGCTCCAGCAAGAAATGGGCATAGACCTCATTCTCCGTCTCCTCCTGAGCCAAGTGGTTTTAGGGGTTCCGGGCTTAAGGGGTGAAGGGGTTTGGGGGTTTCGGGCATAGACCTCATTCTCCGTCTCCTCCTAGGGTTTAGGGTTTAGGGTTTAGGGCATAGACCTCATTCTCCGTCTCCTCCTGAGCCAAGTGGTTTTAAGGGTTTTGGGCTTAGGGGGTGAAGGGGTTGAGGGGTTTGGGGTTTGGGGTTTAGGGGTTTAGGGGTTTAGGGGTTTAGGGTTTAGGGGTTTAGGGGTTTAGGGTTTGGGGGTTTAGGGGTCTGGGGTTTGGGGGTTAAGTGTTTAGGGGTTAGGGTTTAAGGGTTTTGGGTGTCGATTTCAACACAGTCTCCCAGAAAGCTCATAACTAGGGCTCCAGACTAAACGACATGGAAAAGCAATGAAGTATCCAAAATCGATACCAGCAAACAGGTTCAAGGCATTGGGGTTTTGGCAGCCAGCTTTGGGATGTGGGATTAGGGTTGATGTTTAGGATGTTGTACGGTTTGGGGCGTCTGTTTTGATTTGTTGGGCGTACAGGGTCTTGAGATTTAGGGCTTTGCGATCTGGGGTAAGGGGTTACTTACCCAGGCTTTGGCTCATTGGACCCAAACTTAGGTTTGGGGCCTAAGAAGTTTTGTGTTTAGGGCTCAGGGTTTAGGGTTCTGGGAACTCAAACCTTACTTTCACAGGGGATTTTGATTACCCTACATTCAGTTCCTCTACGGTTTTGCTGGAGGTTGGGTTGTGCAAAAACAGGCTCGGGCGGCTGTAGAGTCGATGTATAGTTATAATAAGGAATCTCAAAATAAGTTTTCTGCAAGACCCAAGGCCCCATAGTACTGCGAGGGTGCACGCTGCCATACCTGCCCCAGACCCCAAACCCTAAACCTAAACCCTAAACTCTAAACCCCTAGACCCTAAACCCTAGACGCCCCGTTTTCTTTTGTATGCAGGGTGGCCACGCTGTGAAACCTGCCAGGAAGGCTTGGGAGGATTTCGTGGCGCGTGGCGATGCGCGTACATCTTCCTCCAAGGAGAGCCATGAGCGAGATTCCTAAGTTTTTGAAGATGTCTTTTAGGCTACTGTAGGAACAAGTAATTGCATTCATGCCGAGTAATATGCTTCCTGGACGAGCCGTCTTCGCCATCAAAAGCCAATATCATGCTAGATCATGTTGCACAGTAGTAGCAGTTGTCGTCGCCGTAGTCGTCGCAATAGTAAAGTAGTAGCAGCAGTCTTTGTTGTTGTTCTTGTTATTGCTACTAGTGTTGCCCTTGCCGTGCTTGCTATTATTGTTGTTCTTCCTTAACCCCAAATAACCTACCTTTTTAGGGACTTACATAAAGAAATCATATTAGTGGGGCCCTTAATTTAGGGTCCAGGTTCTTGTTGTCTAGGACTGCTACAACCTGCCCCCTGATCCGCCAAGCACTGCACTGACTCTGGAATCTCTGTCATGAAAACTCCGCTCGAGGGTCAATTTGAAGGCAGACGGGGGAACGAAATCGGGCTGCGAAGGACCTTACTAGGGTTGATGATATAAATCCGGCATTACCTGGATGACCGAAGCGATATTGAACCGCAAAACCCTAAACCCAAAAATACGAAACTCACGACGTTGTGAAGGCAACCCCTGCCCGAATTCAGGCCCCATGTCTGGTACCTCCTCACTGTACAGTGGCGTTGAGCGGATAGGGCCGAGGTTTAGGGTCTAGAGTCTAGAGTGTAGGGCTTTAGGTTTCTAGGTGTGTTTGAAGGCCTGGAAGTTGAAGTAAACAGAACATATCGGCGCTACAGGGTCCGTAGACAGCTACCTGTTGATGATATATATCCTGCATTGCCTTAAGGACCCTAAACTAAGGAAATTATGGTATATTCCCTATTATGGGTAGTGCAGGATTTATATCATCAACCGTACTCGCCCAGATAATATGGGGCCAGTACGAATACTGTTTCGGGATCTGATCTAGCACTCTACAACTCCATAGCACAGTTGTCCGGATCTTTCGGGGCTGCGCGGGGTTCGGGACACAGAGTCGCAAACTCGTGCGGAGGCAGGCACATTCTCTGCCAAAGTAACTGGCTGCAACCAAAACTTCACTAAGCGACGCAACTTAAAATACTTCTGCGGCTGCATCGAAGCTCCCCACTGATTTTTCAGAAGGGTCAGCGCTCAGCAGCTCGTCAGGTTCGGTGTTGGCTCTTTGCGTTGCCTCAGATTCACAACAGCAGGCTAGGGAAGCTTAGGGTTTATGGTTCAAGATTTAGGCTTTGGGGTTTAGAGTTTAGGATTTGGGGTTTGGGCACAAACCCCGTAACAGCTGCAATTCAGAGGTCTGAATGGCTCGGCGAGAGATTTTGCTGGTATTACAGTTATATCCTGAATGATCTACCTTTTAAGGAAAAGGAAATCATGACAAGGAACCCAAAGCTTGCAGGTCCCTGAAGGTCCAGGTACTATACTTGAGGCTCTCACCTTCAGAGTCTTCGGATCACTACTGCTGATGGACAAAATCCTGCATGACCCTAAGGACTCTAAGTTATGGGAACTAAGGTATATTCCTTGTAATCGGTAATGCAGGATTTTGTCCATCAACAGTATCACTAGAAAGCCGTACCCTGTTTGGGGAGGCCTTGGGATAGGGCTCCTGGCATTTAGGGCTTAGCGACTAGGGTTACAGGGTCCCTTTTCTTTTCTGCACAATGCCAGATGTGTCTTTCCCCTAACTCTAATAAACCCTAAACCCTAAACCCTAAACCTAAACCTGGCCGAGTTGCTCTTGATGTGGCTGTACAAGGAATTTTTGAAGGCGTTTTGCACCTGAGCCGAAGGTTTCAGGCAGTCGGAACCAAGAGCAGGCGGCAAACAACCCGAAGACCTGAAACTTCTTGGAGGGGCAGGGGACTTAGTAAGTATGGTTATAAGTAGAGTTATAAGTACCCTAAATGGAGATACCCCAAGTATAACCCTACTTATAACCCTACTTACTAAGCCCCCTGCCCCTCCAAGTTGAATATTAACTATTAACCTTATGGAACCCGAAAGCTTAAGTTAATCAACACTGCATGAAGCTTAAACTCTTAGTTGCTGAGTTCTTAAGCACCAAAACGTGAAAGCTTTTAGTTTTGTAGTGTGCAGTATTGTCCCAAAAGGTGTAAGGTGTATCCACTCAGCTACTAAGAATTACAAAACCGTAAAACCTGATCTCTGAGGCCTAAACGGTATCGAGAACGTCTGTTGGCCTGAGGGCACACTGAACACAAAAGACCGCCAGATAACAAACGAACCTACTGGCGGGGGCTTGCAGGAACCTTCAAACAACCGTTCATGTTTCCCTGTAGGATAACCTGATGAAACTACACGAACTCTTTAAAATCCCTGGGCTCAACTAGCACAGACTGGCCTCATGCCCACGTTTGTATGTGCCATGATCCAAGACCCCCGCAAAGTTTATGGAAGATTCAAAAGCCGTCATCAGATCGTTCTTGAATTGAGCCTCTCATTGCTTGCGAACTCCCATGAGCCTTGAAGCACACCGCCATTAGCTTGGCTACGTTACAGGTAGAACTTCTCTTGGAAGAAGTATATACTTCCCCAAGAGACCTGAGAAGTGAAAGTTGGTGGTCTTGGTGTGGACTCTGAAAACCAAAGCACGCTCACAAGCTACACCTTAAGCTAGTTTACCGTAAATCCCTCAACCCCAAAAAGCCCCAAAATCCCAAAACCCTAAAGACCTGAAACCCCCCCTAAACCCTAAACCCCTAAACCGCTAAACCCTAAACTCTAAACCCTGAAGCCCTGCAGCCCTAAACTCCCAGTTGCCAAAAAGCTGCGAAGGAAGAGATCTGAGGAGAGGAGTCCTCCTTGGATTGCAAGCGGAGCATCTCCTGGCCACGACCCAAGGTCTCTATCGTGATTTATGAATATCAGGGCATTCCATGGATGAAGGATTTCGGGGTTTAGGGTTGTAATCAGGATTTTGCGATTGTTAAGGGCTTCTCAACCGTCTCATATATAAGTTGGTTTCAAGGAGCTGTAAGAGTTCTCTAGGGTTTTTACAAGGACGTTGTGATGATCTGACCCGATGTTACAAGGGTGTTGCCCACGAGAGCATGCAATTTAAGGTCTCCTCAAACCAAAGCAACTGACAACTCAGGTACTACTCAAAGACCATGGAGACGAATACCCCAAACGATGGAGTCACACTAAACCCTAAACTGAAACCTAAACCCGTAAACCCCTAAAGCCTAAACCCTACAAACACTTTAGACCTACAGTTCGGGTCCTACTATTGGAGGAGTGACATAGTCTTTCGGGGCTCGAGAAGACCTTGCAATCTAAGCAACTACTCATCAAGAAAAGGTTTGGAGATACGCTTTGCATCTTCACTAAATCTGCCCTTAAAGGGGTTTAGGGTTTAAGGTTCAAAGCCCAAGGAAAACCTATAGAATCCCATAGCACACACCTATAGAACACCGTAAAGCCCAAACCTGTCAGGGCGTACTTGGAGAGGCAGGGGACTTAGTAAGTAGGTTGTAAGTAGAGTTATATGTACCCTAAATGGAGATAACCCAGTTATAACCCTACTTATAACCCTACTTACTAAGTCCCCTGGCCCTCCAAGTAGACCCTAAACCCTAAACTCCATAGATACTTTTAAGGATCCCTATAGATCCCTTTAAGGAGCCCTTCAAGAAGCCTTACTAAGTCCCCTGGCCCTCCAAGTAGGGATCTATCGATGTTGGGGATTCTGGCTCGGGGAGGCTACTTTCTAATCATGGTAGTTTTTGCCTCTTCTAAGTAATCCGGGCCTACATATTGGGGTTTTAGGGTTTAGGGTTTGGGGTTCAGGGTTTGGGGTTTAGGGTTTGGGGTTTGGGGGTCAGTGGGCGTCGGACCGAGCTGGCTTGCAGCAGCTGCAGTCAAGTTACAGTAGAAGCCCAAAAGTTGGAAACCCCATAGCTTCAATCCTTAACAGTAAAGAACAGGGAATCCCAGCACTATTTGGCCTTAATCCAGTTTCCAACTTTACGGGGCTTACTGTACCCTAAACCCTAAACCCTAAACCCTAAACCCTAAAGGACCCCTTAAAGGAGCCGCTTACTGTAAACGGTCCGTGGAAAGAACAGGCGCAGCACCCAGCGCTTGCCTTTCAACGGCAGATTTTTCCTCGGAGCTTCGGCTCTAGCAGGGTTTAGGGTTTAGGGTTTAGGGTTCCCCTAAATCCCAAAGTGTCGAAAGCCTGCCTCGCAAGCGGCCTGGATGCCCAGAAACCCGAGAGTTGTCGCCGAAATGCTCGGTGTTCAGGAGGCTCTTCAAATAGCTGGTCAGGGGGGAAGGCTCTCTGTTCCACCCCAGGTCAGCCTCTGTGAGTACATAGTCACTGCCAGCGCGAGTCTCGGGCGAGGACGGTGAATGGGGCACAGCTGGCACGGACGGCCCAGCCACTGGAGAAGGAGCGGAGTTCGCCAAAGCAGCACCAGTACAAACCCTTGACGAAGGAATCCTGACAGGAACTAATTCGAATTATTATTACCCCCCCCCCCCCAATATTGCCTCTTCCCAAACCCTAAGCCCCAAAATCCCAAACCCTAAACCCAAAGCCCCAGGCCCCAAACCCCCCCTCACAAAAAGACATAACTTGTGGGCCCTGCCGGGTGCAGATTGCATTCATGAAAAGTGTGTGATATACTTGGAGGGGCAGGGGACTTAGTAAGTATGGTTATAAGTAGACTTATAAGTACTCTAAATGGAGTTACCCCAATTATAACCCTACTTATAACCCTACTTACTAAGTCCCCTGCCCCTCCAAGTAGACCCTAAACCCTAAACCCCATAGATCCCTTTAAGGAACCCTAGAGATCCCTTTAAGGAGCCCTTTAAGAACCCTTACTAAGTCCCCTGCCCCTCCAAGTAGGGTTCTTAATATTCAGACTAAAGTTCCTTTACGTAAGGATTTCTTTTAGAGGCTCTGACCGAAGTCTTATTGTAATTAGAAATGAGGCTTGGGGTACATGATAGTAAAGCTGTGATACGAAATTCCCAAGAATGAACTTTGGTGATTTCTGTCTTGCAAAATCTTGGTTGCAAGTACAAAAACGCAAGCAACAACCCAAACCCAAAAGAACTTGGTTGAAATAGCAAAAACCTGTACAGACACCCTGGTTGTGAATCAAGACATGAAAGCCCTCACATCTTAAGAGATTGAAATCAAAACCACTCCGTGAAACCTAAACTCAAAAAGGAACAAGTTCAACTCTATAACTTTCTATATGGCTTTATCAAGAGCTTACTCCCCCCAGTAAGCCACACAAAGCACAGGTTAAGCTTTCCGATTACTACTACACAAAGGGCTTACTAAACTTGGGGCTCTGAAAACATTGAGTACCTGGGATCTAAGACATCCTGAACCCTCAACCCTAAGCCCTTAACCCGATAAACCTTGAACTAAACCCTTTCAGGACCCTATTCCCGATCCCTTTAAGGACCCCCTTGTAGAACCCTACAGCTTTAGCTCTAAACCCAAGTTTGGGTATTGAGGAACCAAGAAAGGAGACTGCCTCGAAGAGAACCTCGAGCTTGGTTTCCAATCTCCAAACCTCGGTGAGAGATGTGGCTCTAAGGTTAAGAGTTTAAGGGTTTAGAAGGGCTTAAGTTAAGGGGTTTCAAGTGCTTCGGGCTTTTTTCTGGTTTTACATGGTCTTGGGGTGTTAGGTGGATTTTGTTGGGTGGGTTTAGGGGGGCTTTGGGTGTGTAGGGTGTAGGGTTTAGCGTTTAGGGTTTCGATTTTGGGGTATAGGGATCAGGATCTAAGGTTCGGGCATTGGGGGGCAAGACTTGACAGTTCCCCTAGGACGTTGAGAAGGCTCTGGTAGTTCTTACAGGGTTTGGGCTTAGTGTTTGAAGGCTTGAGGTTAAGGGTTTGGGGGTCGTGGGGTTCACGGTTTAGGGTTTACTTTAGGGGCCTTGATGATTACCTATACTATTTTGGGGGGTTCCTTATTGCATCATAGTATCTTGTGTCCCAAAGCCCTATTCGAGTTATAAATTCAGGGCCCTATATTAGGGTGTTAGGGTTCAGGATTTAGGGTGAAATGTAGGGGCCACAACACTTAGAATAAGGCTTTGGGACCTGGGGCCCATTGTAGTGTCATTATGATCAGGAACCCACAAGATAGTGTTTAGGGTTTAGGCCCTATAATATAGGGAGTTGGGGTTCAGGGTTTGGCAGTCGAAACGGAGGCTTTGGGGTCGAGTTTTAACATGTGCTGCTCCCATCCTCGTGTTGCTATCGTCACGCGCTGGCGCTCGTGGCGGCACTTCAATGTCCAGCTGGCTCACATCCAGTGTTTGCGTGTGTTAGCGAGGTTGAATTGACTCCTAAACCGTAAACTCTCAACCCTGAGCACTAAACTCCCTGAGCCCTAAACCGTAATGATTCTGTTTTGGCTAATTTGCTGGCCAGATGCATCCAGAGCTTTCGCCTGACCCCGTAGTCGAGAGGCTCCTGTAACATCAGACATGACATGATGGCTTCCTTTCTTTTTTTTTGCCCTCTTTTCCAACTGCCCAAAGGTTAGTCGAAATGCCAGATCTGGCTGAGGGGTGGTTCGGGGAGCCTGTCAATGGGTTCCTTTCTTGGGTTCAGGGTTTAGGGGTGAGGGTTTAGTGCAGGGTTGGGGGGACCGAGGGCTCAAGACACCCTAAACGCAAAGACGGCTTAGGGTTTAGAGTTTTTAGGGTTTAGGGTTTAGGGGACTCGGATAACACAAGGAATAGTTTAATACTTTACTTTTGGGGCAGTACAGGATTAGCTCTGTAAATCAGCGTTCCCTTTGGGGAACCCAAAGGAAGGTGGCACCCTTGTAAAAAGGATCTTAATAGGGACCCCAATTTCGAGAACTGCTCATATGATTAAATTCTGATTAAAGGTACTTGGACCCTCGGGTTTTGGGCTTAGCTTAGCAACAGTATAGTTGTCATCAGCACTTGATGTTGCAAATCGAGAGACTTACTTAAGGAATACAGCGTAAAGTTGTTCTACACTGTTTAGGTTTTGGAGTTTCTTAGAATATTGCTGATAACTTTGATAGGCACGTTTGATCAGCATGATATCCGTCAGCTCTTAACCCAAAGTCTTAGCAAAACGACCTCTCACTTGACCCTACATTCTAGACCCCATGCTCACCAATAGTAGCCCACAGCCCTAAACCCTAAACCCTAATCCCTAAACCCTAAACTCCAAACCCCGGTGTCTTTCCATGAACTCTTGCAATACAACCTAATCTAGAATCATCATGTAGACGCCGACGTAGTCCACACCGCGAACGTCAAGTACGCGGGGGATCATCGCCGCTGAAACCACACCTTAGCTGTGTCGGAGACGCAAAAGGCGTCTCCGCACGGCCGCTGCGTGCGCCAGGATGGCGCTGTCCTGTTCAGGGAGGCCACAAGGCCAGGCCAAGCGAGCCTGTAACTCGTCCTGAGGAACAAGAGCGGGCGGCTTGTCGTTGTTGGGACGTTCCCAGAGCACATGTCGCAGGTCTGCAGGTGCATGATTGCAGAACGGGCATGCGGCGTCCACGTGAGGATGAGGCGCTGAGCTCATCCGTGCGAGGCACTGGGGTGACACCAATGCTCGTGTCAGCACAGCAACGGCATGAAGCCCCGCGCCCTTGGTGACGGTTCGAGTGCGCCTAACCCGAACGGGGTCGTAGGCGAGGTGGCTCAAAGGAGGCACCTCTCTCCTGCCTGAAGTTAGAAACTTTGTCCACTGCACCCTTCGCCAGCTCTCCCTGACAGCATGAGACTGCTGCCCAAAGCTGGCCTGAAAGTCCGCAGCACTAGGGTCCAAGCACACCTTAGCACGCTCGTGAGCGTGTTCCCAGGTCCACTCAGCAGAGGCCCGAAAACCCTAAGCCGCCCAAAACACCCCAGTCCTTCCATAAACCATAAACTTCCGCATAAAGAGAGCCCCTTTTCACCCTCAAAACCCTCAACCGCTAAACCCTAAACTGTTAACCCAAAATCGTCCTTCGATAAACTCTTGCAGCGTGATTTGCTCATCGCCATTGTCGAGGAACTCAAAGAGGCTAAGCAGATCATGGTACTCCAGCCTCACTTGGTTGGAATTTGGCTTTAGAGTTTAGGGGTATTGTCTAGGGATTTATACAGGGATTTGGGGTTTATGGTTCAAGAGCTTAAGGTTTTTCGGTTTGGGGTTTCAGGGTTTAGGATATTTCAGTCTCGATGGTTGAAATAGGGTTCCTGTATAGAAGGGCTCTTAGTCTTGTACAAGGGCTCCGCAACGAGGATGCCCAGCAGCCCAGGAATAAAAAGGGCTGCCCTTTTTGGTATGTGGAAACTTTAGAAGGAACCAGGGTCTACAAAATGGACAAAGGGCCCACTGGGAGGCCCAGGTAAGGGTTCTTGACTACAGGCTTCCTTCATCATGATTCTCCAGCCTCAGCGGCTGAAAGGGTGCCTTCAAAGGCTCTAGGCTTTGCGGTCCTTATAAGGGCTGTGCAACTAGATCCCCAATGGCCTAGGCATAGTAAGGAGCCTTTTATAAGTAACCTAAGACCACAAAAAAGGACAAAGGGTCCACTGCGAGACCTGGGTAGCGGGTACGGGTAAAGGGTTCTGTTCGACTCGGTGGGTGATGTCTCTTTACAATGGATACTATGTTTAACTAAACCCTAAACCCTGAACACAAACCCCTAAACCCCAAACCGCAAACCGCAAACCCAAAACCCAAAACCCCAAACCCAAAATGGAATAAGGCTCTTTAAGGGTTTAAGATGAGAGCCTCGGTGTTCCAGGGATCGCGGGTTTCTTTAAGGGTCGCTTGCAAGGGGTGTACAGCGGCACAGGATATACAAACCATAGCAGTGCGGACCCAATACTTAAACAGAAATCAGAATACGTGACATGTAGTGTAATGGCGTGAGTAATTAGAATAGAGTCTGCGATGCGCAGCGAATTTACGATCCTTCACTGTGGCGGTACAGCACCAAGAAACTCCAACTGGCTCATCCAGAACTTCAGCTTTGGCGAAGTAACCAGCTTGGAGAACTCCTCGTTAGTCCAGGGGCTGTAGTAGTACTTAAAATTTCAAGCTAGGATGTCAGAGTATCTTACTGTATGCTTACAATAACAGGCTGGGTGGTAGCATGTCCAGTTTTGTTGGTGACATTCCGTACGACAGGACAGGTTTACCCACAAACACACCTGGCCCGCCCGGCCCTTGCACCCTAAGCCCTAAACCCTGGAACCCTAAGAACCCGAAAACCTACACCCGGCTGTGCAGAGTAGCGCTAGGTCTCGAGATTGGGGTTTCAGTGCTTAGGACTTTGGGTTTCTTCGCTCCTTTCCTGCTCTCCAGAATGAATCTCTATTTCTTCCCAAAATTATCGTAGGATCCCCAATATGAATTAAGGTATATTCCTTACTTAAGGGATATTGGAGTCTCTGGGAATCCTTGGCGCCTTCCCTCTGTCTGTTGCACCACACACTGTCTGTCCTCAGGTGCTTTCGGGAGGCCGAAAAACCCAACCCTAAATCCTATGCTTTGGTTCGCGGAAATGAAACCAGTGGAGGCGCCTGAGGCCTCATGTGAGGCTATGGTTTGGACTTTAACGGTCGTTTGGCTTAGGCAGAAAACATGGAACCGGGTCATCGCAAGGCAGAGGATGTTGATTTCAATCAGGCTGAGACCATTGGCAAAGAACGACAAGGAGTTAGGAACAGAGGGACCCTTGGGGATGTAGACTCTCTCAGGAAGCCATGGGTAGTTGGGGTCTAGGTAAACTCTCTGATCCTGACCGATATCAGTACCTAGGGTTCCTCAATCTGACTATACTAATATATATATATATATATATATATATGTATTCCGAAACCCTTTTCCAGTCCCTGTTCTAGTTTGGTTCAGGCCCTTACTTAAAAGGCGGCAGACTCCTGAAGATCGGGTCTCGAGTCTTTGGTTGGGGCTTTAGGGATTCTAGTCTACTTAAAGGATCGTACGACTAGGTAAGTAGTGTTACAAATACTTAAGTGGTTATAAGTCAGCATAAGTACAGTTACCCTAATAAGGACCCTAGTTTCGAAGTCCCATGATCCTTTGAGTAGGGTTTTGGGGCCTAGTGATGAAGTGTGAGGGGCTTGGGGTTCAGGATGTAACCCTAAACCTCAAAGGGTTTAGGGTTTAGGGTTTAGGGTTTAGGGTTTAGGGTTTAGGGTTTAGGGTTTAGGGTTTAGGGTTCCAAAGACAACCTAAGCCCAAAACCCTGCAAAAGCCTAAATCCGAAGCGTTGCCTCCTGAAATGACTTAGATGCCCCAACCGCCCCTTCAAAAAAAAAAACAAAGGGCACACCCTGAAGCCCACATCCCTAGCCCCCGAGATTTGAACCCGAACCCGCCTACCCTCCTGCCTCCAAAAAAAATAATCCTAAAACCTCGGTTTAGAGTTTAGGGTTCCCTAAACCCTAAACCCTGAAGCAAAACGGATGCTGGGGCCTCTAAGCTGATCGCGCCGTCGTTGGAGTCGTCCATGGTCTGAAACAGACGTCGAACTTTCCTTGCATACCTGCGTCGGAGTGGGGCTGTCCTGACACCCTGCAAAAGAGCCGCCAAACTATCCGGGCTTGGCGTTTGGGCATTCTGCATGTGGGTAGTTTTCTGAATTAAGGTCCCTTTCCGGGTCCGTGTTATAAGCGTGTCGTACCATGTTGCACCTGAAAAGGAACATAACTTGGAGAACTGCCTAAGAGCCTACACTGGTGCTGAAACCCTAAACCCTACACCCTAAAACCTTAAACCCTATCATAAGAACTGAATTGGCACCCTGCGCAAGCTCCCCAAAAGTGCATGAGCGGTCCAAGAGTGGAGGATCATGGGACTCAGTAAGTTTGGTTATAAGTACCTTGATTGGGCTTACAAGCAATTATAAGTATAGTTGCCTTAAGAATAACCCTAGTTACTAAGTCCCATGATCCTTTAAGCACCAGAACTTGGCTGACTTCTGAACCCCTCCAAAAAGTCAAACTTTTAGCATCCTTATTGTAGTTCATATAGAAACTCAAAAAATTCAAGTCCTAAGAGGCAACCAGAAGAACGCCAAGAGAACGTCCAAGATGCGCCGCAATGTCTTTCTCCTTCTGCTTGAAGGCCAACTCCTCCAGCGGCATTCTGAAGGGTTTAGGGTTTAGTAAGGGCTCTTACCCAGAGAGCCCAAGACCCATTACTTAAGGAATATGCCTTAAATTATAGGGTTTCATATTTTGATTTAAGCTATATTCCTTAATTAAGGGGTATTGGGCTCTCTGGGCAAAGGGCTCCTTAAAGGGATCTATAGGGTTCCTTAAAGGGATCTATGGGGTTTAGGGTTTAGGGTCTACGGCATTCTGGAGGGCTTAGGGTTTAGGGTTCCTTCAAAGGGATCTATAAGGGATCCTTAGAGTTTAGTAAGGGCTCTTAAAGGGCTCCTTAAAAAGATCCTATAGGGTTCCTTTAAGGGATCTATAGGTAAGGGGTTTAGGGTTCAGGGTCTTACTTGGAGGGGCAGGGGACTTAGTAAGTAGGTTATAAGTAGGGTTGTAACTGGGGAAACTCCATTTAGGGTACTTTTAACTCTACTTATAACCTACTTACTAAGTCCCCTGCCCCTCCAAGTAGGGCTTAGGGTTTGGGGGCTTCGTAGCTTTCGAGATCTACGCTTTAGGGGTTGTTTGCAGTGTTTCGGGTTGTGGGTCTTACTTCATCTTCAGGCATACCTGAACCCCAAATAACCTCCCTTTCTAAGGACTCATATAAGACAACCATAATAAAGAGCCAAAACAGTGTAGGTTCCTTAGGGTCCAGGTACACCCTAAACCCTACAGCCTTGAAGCCCCAATAGCCACTACTAGCCCCACACCCTTGAAGCCCGAAGCCCTAATAGCCTCTAAACCCTACCTTAAGCCCAAATGGTTGAAAGGCTCCTCGTCGGAACTAGCCGTCTTCATGGTCTGCTGCACAAACACCGCATTCACGACCTCGGCACGAGGGGTTTAGGGCTCTAGGGCTTTAAGGTGTTTAAGGGTTTAGGGTGTAGGGTCGACTCAAACCTCGAGGAGGACCTTTGGGAGAACATCCGGGGTGCAACCTAGGCCCTAGACGCCAAGCCCAGAACCCTAGTTACGCCCAGTGAGCTACAAGGAAGACCTGCTGGTGCTGAGGTGGCGATGGCAATGGCGGAAAGAATGGGGATGGTTCGGGATTTTCATCAAGGGAGGATGAGGGTGGGGGCGAGGGTAACGGTGAGGGGTGAGGGTCGTGATAGGGCCCGGCTAACATTGATGCTGCTGCAGCTAGGGGTGGAAATGGCACAGGTGCACACTGTGATACGTGTGCAAGGCTTCTGTAATTAGGGCTTACCTTGGCCCTAAGTCTAATCCCTCAACGCTATACCGTATACCCCTAATCTCTAGACCCCAAACTCCAACCCCAAACCCCTAAACTCTCAACCCTTCCCCAATCCCAATGTGTGAAGACGTATGATCCCTTTCCTGTTTAAGAAGCCCTTTACGCCCTTTACGGAACTCTTTAAGTTACTTAGCCCCATGACCCCTTAAGTAGACCCTCATTAAACCCAAAACCCTTGCAGGGAACTGTATTACAGAACCCTACAGTTCCCTTTAAAGGAGCCCTAAATCCTAGCTACCAAGTCCCAGGAACCTCCGGAGGTTCAGGGTTTCGGGCTCAACGCTCAACACCCTGAGTGCGCCACATTCAAGACTGCAAAACCCAACCTGGGTGGCTTGGCGGCGGTTTATCATAGGGATCCTTAGGGGTGTAGGGGGGAGGGGTGTAGGGGACTATATTTCCTTAAATAGGCCTTATTAGTCCTTATTATGGGCCTTAAGGCCCCCTCCCCCCCCTCCCCCTACACCCCTAAGGATCCCTATGAGTTTAGGATCCAGGATTTACCTTTTGGGGATTAGGAGGATCGGGTTCAACGGTCGCGGGGTTTCACGATGTAGCGGTTTGCCCAGAGAGCCCAATACCCCTTAATTAAGGAATATGCCTAGGGTTCCTTTAAAGGGATCTATAGGGTTTAGGGATTCAAATACCCCTTAATTAAGGAATATGGCTTCAATTATATAGGGCTTCATATTATGATTTAAGCTATATTCCTTAATTAAGGGGTATTGGGCTCTCTGGGTGCAGCAACAGTTGGGACTGGTAGGATCAATCACCTCGGGTGCTCCGATTACTTTGAGAGCCCAAGTCGCTTTCGCTCGGGTGGAGCTCTACAGGTATAGCTTAAAAGTCTGACCAGGGTTTACGGCAGCTTCTTAGACTAGATACCTTCTTCTTGGTGGTCTTTACGCCGAGCACCTTATGCACTATGCAGGGTTTATATGGGCTGGGGACTTGCTTGGTTAAGCGTTATAAGTTATAACTCTACCTTTAACCTACTTACTAAGTCCCCTGCCCCTCCAAGTAAGGTCTGCGGTCCAGGGCGCAAGGTTCAGGGTTCAGGGTACACTGAGTAAACTGTATACACGCGAAAAAATCCCACAGAGCCTTGTACGTTCAAAAAATCACTCCCGCAATAAACTTCGAACAGGCTCTGTGCGGGAGGCGGCGCGCGTTTGGGCATTTACGGTTTAGGATCTAGTCTGTTGTTGGGGTAGGTCTGAAGCGGAACAACTATGAGGTTTTGGCAGGCTGCTTACTCGTAAACAAGTCTATCAAGCTTTTTCGGATCTTATGAGGGTCCTTAACTTAATGCATCGGGGTAAAGGATTCAGAGCTCAGGGTTTAGGGGTTATAGAGTTGCCCACAATCCGTGACCCACCCCCGGAACTACAAACGGGTGAAGAGCCCATTCGTAAGGGTGTCATGTAGGCAAGAAACACCTCCGATTGACAAGACGAACTGCCGTAGCAAGAAACATAATTACTAGGGATCCCAATCGTTAGGCGACTTTGTGAAAAAGATAGCAGGGTCTTGGGGTATCTTCTACTGTAAGTACAGCAGGAACCCCAAAGAACAGCACTGGCAACTACTCAGGCGTCTATCTTAAGTCCACAGTACTTGGAGGATCACGGGACTTGGTAAGTATGTTTCTTATTACCTTGTTTGGGGCTAGAAGTAATGATCAGCACAGTTATCCCAATAATAGCCCTAGTTACTACGTCCCATGATCCTTTAAGTAGACCCTGAAACCCATAGGTCCCTTTAAGGCAGACCTTTAAAGGAACTAATTCCGATGATCCTTTGAGTAGACTTGAGAGTGCTGGGAGGTCGGAGCCTGATCCCTGGAGTTTTGCAGGGAAGGCCCGTACTAAGTAACCATCGGTTTTGGGGGTTCCCGTGGCTCTTTAGCTCCTTACCGCAAGGGTCCAAAGGACTCGATAATAAGGTACTTGGGTTTAGGAGAGTAGTTTATGTAGGTTAGGATTGTGGGGTACTTGGACCTTTGGAGTTATGTAGGTTAGGATTTTGGAAAGTATATGGTTATAGGGTACTTGGACCCTTGGGGTTATTCAATACGGATTATCATCACCCCTGGCTTCAATGAGAACAGGGCTCCTTTCCGGGTTCCTTCAAGGGATTTTGTTCAGGGTCTTTTTATGGGCTCTGTCAGAATCTACAATGTGCATAAACAAAGCATTGGGGCTTTCATAGTTGGTATGAGGTTTCGGGGGACCTTCTAGTACAATCATGCAGAAACAATAAACCTAGACCCAAGAGTAACCTAGGAATAAAAAGGGTGCCCTTTTTGGTTTAAAGGGGCTTAATAAGGGAACCTGAACCCCAAAAAAGGGAATAAGGGCCTACTCGAGGTCCTAGAAATTGATAACCTTTCTAGAAGCTAAGGCTGATATTACGACATCATCGACACCCGAAACGTGCCTGATACGATCCAGCTTTACGCTTCCACAAAGCCACAAACCCTAAGAGCTGACACCCGTGCAGCCCAAAATTCGAAACCACCTACATCGAGAACCCTTTTGAAGACCCCAAATTCCGAAACCCTGAAGCCCGAAGCCAAAACTGGATTCTGATTGTGACATCAGATTTAAGTTGCCGTAAAAAGGAACCAATACTGCTTAAAATAAACCCCTATTATGGCAACTTAAAATGAGTTGCTATCTGCATAAGTTCCAAAAAATGAAAACCTTCAGTTCTGTCGGTGGTAATATTATCACCGAAAGGTGTAACGCGTGCTCATGCAGCTATAAGCAAGTCAACCTCCATATTAACGAGAACCAAAGAGAATTGAGATCCTCTTCTCCAGACCTCTTAAAGGACCCCCTTATGGGAGTCCTTAAAAGATCCCTTAGAGGAACTCTTGCAGGATCCTGCGGGAGCCGCAAAACAATCAAGCCCGAAAAGCTATAAACCTAGACCCTCAAAAACAGAGATTTCCTTCGCCGGAAGACAGACAAACCCTAAAACCCTTATAATCGCCTTTGGAGGAACCCCTTGATAGGAACCCTCGAAAACATCCTCTTCGCCGGAAGACACACAGCGGTAAAGCAGGAAGAAGACCGAGAACCACTCGCTGACGTTTTCCACCAAAACGCGACAAGGAGGGCTCCAGTTCGCAAACCTTGGGTTTCAAGGTTTGGGGCTGGTTTTGGTTTTAAGGATTAAGTTTAGGTTGGAGGGCTCCAATTCGCAAACCTCGAGTTGAGGGCTTAGGGTTTACGAGTGTTTTGGGTTTTTGGTTTAGGGATTGGGGTTTGGAGCTTTTTGGATTTAGTGCGTAGGCGACTCCACTTCGCAAATAGAAGTGTAGTAGGAGCGGGTTGCCATGCGCAGAGCTAGCATCCTGCTCACAAGGAACTCTATGCGCCCCAGGCGACTTTGCAGAGTGGAACTGCTTCCAAGCCTGCTCCCACCTCACCTTCATGGAAAGGGCTTTGCCGTTGAAGGGAGAGTGTGTTGTCGACGGCTTGCACCGTACCACGAAGAGAACCAGTGCAGCGAGCACCAGTCTTTAGCGGAGTCTCCGACGAGACTGCGCGGAGGGACCTTAAATGGAGCCAAAGGCTCGCAGAATGTCGTCCCAGGGATCTCGTGCACGGTGTGCAAGTGCCGCCTTCTGCTACCGGTGTGGCCCTTGAGGGTGTCGTGTTTAACCACAAACTTACAGTCCGGATGGTCGCAAGTCCACCACTTGGTGCGCTGATGTTGTGCGTTCTTCCAAGAAGCATGCCTCACCGCATCGTATTTACCGTGAACGGATCTACGCTCCTCCGTCGTCGTGTGAGAGCTCCAGGGTTTAGGGTTTAGAGTTTTTTGGGGGTTTGGCCTTGAAAGGGTTCATGGCTTAGGAGTTTAGGTTGAGGGCTCCAGTTAGCAAACATTGGGTTTAGGGTCTAGAGCGTTTTGGGCTTAGGGATTAAGGTGTCTAGGGTTTAGAGCTTGTTGGGCTTAGGGTGTAGTGTTTAGGGCTTTTGGGTTTTGGGAATTGCGGTTTCGGTCGGGTACTGCCCCGCTAATAAGGGCATCGAGCTACGCGCCGTATAAGTCCACATTATCAACCAGATATTCTCCAACTGTTGCTGCGTGGAGGCAGTATCCAGGTTTAGGGTTGAGGATTGAGTTTAGGCTGAACCCTACACCCTGAAACCGTACCATAGTGCCGCTCCTTACTGAGAATGTCAGTGCTCGCCGAGGATAAAGTATACGTACATGAACCGGGCAAAAACTGACTATAATACAGCTGCTAGGGTCTTGCGGCAATGTAGAAGCCGAAACAAGTACCAACAATTGTCCTTGGTGTTCCATATAGCTACAAAGGAACCCCAAACCCTCTTTTAATTACTTACGCCCCTACACTATATCCTTAAAATAGCCCTTAGAGTAGCCCTTTTTGACCCCTTTACAGGAACCCTATTCTAATCATTAAGGCTCCTACATTAAAGTACCCTTATGGTATCCTTTACAGTAACCCTTGTAGACCCCCTTAAAGGAACCCTGTTCCAATCATTAAGGCCCCTTCATTACATCGCAGCATAACTTCATCAAGGAGCCATATCAGAACACATGAGTTCAAGCTTTCGGGCTTTGAGGTTGCCTTAGCATGGGTTTAGGGTTTAGGGTTTAAGGTTTCGGGGTTTAGGGTTTTGGAGTTTAGGGTATGGGGTTTAGGGTTAGTATGGGTTTAGGGTTAGGGAGTAGTATCTTGTACAGAAAACACCCTGCTTACTTGAAAGGACCACGTTCGAGGCGCAGATCCACCTCGCAGCTCAACCGGCAGTCTTGTTCTTTCTGGAATCCCCACCTTAATCACCTCAATCCTAGATCCGTGAAATACGCTCCTGTTCATAGTACTGTAGCTTGAAGCCGGCTCCTCAACAAGAAACCCGTGTTGTAGAGTAGCCTACCTCAACTATTGAGTTTAGGTGCTCCGCGCATAATCAAAATTATGAAACCTCGACCCCTAAACTCGAACCCGGCATCCGAAGTCATCAACCCTGAAGCCCTGAAGCCCCAGATACCCTCAACATTAAAGCCCTAAAGTTAGGCCCTGCAGCCCTCAGGATCCTTGATACCTTCGACCTTAAAGGGAACTCCAGAAAGTTGGAATATGGTTTCAGGATAGGATACCTTATAATTGACCATAAAGGGTTTAGGATAATCATATTCCAACTTTCTGGCTTTGACTTTAAGACTTTAAGATACTGAAACCCTCAACCCCAACCGCCCGACCCTGCAAAACCTTCGACACAAAACGCCTAGCAACCCGCGAGTGAGCTCTTCTAGGTTCCTGAGTAGCCCCTTTATGATCAGGGTCCCCTTTTTCGTACTATTGGCTTTTGATCATCGAACCCAAAAAGAAAAACTGCAAAGGGGTCCTACTCACAACCTGGTCTTTCTTGCATGGGGCATGTCAGACAGGGAGGGGTCGACCGAAGTCGAAGCAAACTCATCTACAACGATCCAGGAACTTAGGGTTAAGAGTTTAGGGTGTGTTAATGTTGGGATTGAAAGCTTTTAAGGCTTGAGGGCTTCAGGGTTGAAGTGCTCGGGTATAAACCGCCCACCCTTAACCCTCAACCTTCAACCCTGGATTTGGGGCTCATCTTTAATTACCGTACTTAAAGGATCATGGGACTTGGTAACTAGGGGTATTATTAAGGTAACTATACTGATAAGTACTTATAATATAACCCCAACTAAGGTACGTAGAACCTTCTTGCTTACTAAGTCCCATGCTCCTCCCATTATAGAACCCTTACAGATCCCTTTAAGGAAGACTTTTTTTAGAACCCTATAGTACCCTTGAAAGGAACCCTAGATCCTCCACGTAGGGTTCCCTTAAAGGTCCAGCGCTCAGTCCTGAAGCATCAAAGGGCGAGGGCTAAGTGCAGGACGGATGGGTTTAGGCTAGGGTTTAGGGGTTTAGAGTCTTGGGGTTTAGGGTTTAAGGGTTTAGAGTCTTGGGGTTTAGGGTTTTGGGGTGTTGCTTCTTGCACTATACAGGTACGAAGCGGTACTAGCACTAATAATGACACGAAGAGAACTGAAGAAGCCCTCCAGGGGCAGCCAAGGGGCAGGATCTCGAACATGGTGAGGAAAGTTCGAGTGAAGGTGCCGTAGTATCCTCAGGTAAACTTATGACAGAAAGTACATCTTTGGTCCCTATGTTGAGAAGTCGAAAGGCTACCTTAACTCCAAATAACCTACCACCAAAATCAGGACTCAAATGAAGAAATCATAATAAGGAACCCTAAAACTTTGGGCTCCTTCGGATCCAGGTAGTGTTTAGGTTTAGGGTTTAGGGTTTTGGGTTTAGGGTTTTGGGTTTAGGGTTTAGGGTTTTGGGTTTAGGGTTAGGGTTTAGGGTTTTGGGTTTTGGGTCTAGGGTTTAGGGTTTTGGGTTTAGGGTTTAGGGTTTAGGGTCATCCTCGTTCTGGCCGCCCCCCCAAAGCATCACGATACCCTCACCAGCGGAAGCACCGGCAGCGCAACACCTACAATGCGGCCTACCTGCAGTCTACAACAACAACAAAGGCGGCCGCCCTTAAGACAGCCTAATCCCCTTATAGAACCCCTTCGATAGACCCTGAAGGATCTCCAAAAAAGCAACCCCAAAGCCTCAACCACTGAAAGCCCAGCTTCGGTACACCTCCTCTCGAAGCTCGATACTCTGGCCCGTGTCCTCCGAACGCATTTCGGGGGGTAAGGATTAAGGCGTTGGGTTCAAGGTGTATAGTTTGACGGCATAAAAGGTTCTTGGATGAAGACATAGGTTTTGGGATTTTACGGAATGGGGTTTAGGGCTTTAGCTTAGGGGAACTATTGGGAAATCCCAATAACCTTGCCAGGTCTGATTATAAAACGTTTACAACCGCTTGAAGTGCAAGACTTGTAAAGCCCCGTGTGGAAACCCTTAAAAATCGGGATAAGAACCCTAAACCCCTGAACCCCCCATGCGGCACTGCTTTCGCGCTGCCTTCAGAAACTCGCTGCAGAGTGTGCTGACGACCATGCCCGCCACACACTGGATGAAGGTAAGCCTTGGATTCTTCCAGATCCCCAACTACCCTCTAAAGGGCACTTGGGGGTTTGGTGGAGTTTGGAGATTAGGGAAATCCGGTTTCGAAAGCTTGGCATTTAAGTAAAAACCTAGGGTTTTGGGATCAAGGTCTCTTCGGAGCTTGGGGTTTGGGGTTTAGTTGGGATCGGGTTTCGGGCAGTTTAGGGATTAGGGATTAGGGCTTTAGGGCTTTACCCGGAGACTCCGAGACCCCTCAATTAAGGAATATGCCTTACATCAAAAATTGGAACCCTAGCAAGATTTAAGGTGCATTGCTCAATTAATGGGTTTTGGGATCTCTTACTAGTTTGGTTAGGGTGTAAGGCAGTTTAGGGATTAGGGTTTAGGGCAGTGTAACGAGTAGGAGCCCGAAACTTAAAACACTAGCTTTCGAGATGCAAGCTTATGCCTCAGGGCTGAGCCGTAAGTTTCGGTTTAATTAAGGTTCAAAGATTAGGGACGTACTGCCCCAGCACTCCCACATGCATGCCCGGCAAAGTGCAAACCCCAACACCCCATGCCAAACCCCCAACCCTAACCCCGAAACCCTAAACCTCAAACCCTACCCACTAAACCCAATGCTCCCTAAACCAACCTAAACCCAGAGTTACTAAACCCCGACAACCTCAGTCTAAGTCCCAAACCCCCACAGGGTTTAGGGTTCGGGGTTTAGGGTTTAGGGTTCTGGTTTTTTAACCTAAACCTGCGAACCCATTGTAGTCACCTTGAAGTCCTTTAAACTCTTTAAACTCAAGCTAGAACCTCATGAACGCCGTCGAAGCAGAACACCTTTCAAATCCTACGACAGAAAACGTGGGTCCGCCAAAAACGGTTCGGAGTTTCGAGATTCTAGACCTAGGCTTAAGCTTTCGGGTTTAGGGTTTTAGGGTTTACGGTCGGGGGCTTAAAGATTGGGGTTTAGAGATTAGGGCTGAGGGTTAATGTAGGAACCCGATTCAGAAACCCTGGCCCTATAGCCCCAATATAGTAAGGCTCATATCAGGTTTCCTAAGCAGGTTCCTGTTTTAGGATCGAGAGGACTAAGGCTTCGAGATAAAGCTGCACCTTAACCCCAAGTAACCTACCCGTTTTAAGGACTTATATAAAGAAATCATATTAGGGAACCCTAAAACGGTAGGTTCCTTAGGGCGCAGGTAGGACTTAGGTGATGGGAGGCCAAAAGGGGGGTTTAAGATTCTTGGGGTAGGGATTCCTTAATATGAGCCCTATTATGGGAACCCTAATCCCTACTAAACCCCCATAGGCTAAAACCCCTTTTGGCCTCCTATGATTAGGAACCCTGAACCCTAAATCTTGAAGCCGAATATTGCGGCGTCGGGGGGGGTTGAAGGCGGCGAAGGGCTTAAGGGCTTGGGGTGCAAAGCGCATCTAGGGGTTCAGGGATTAGGGTTTAGGGTTGAGGGTTCAGGGTTCAGGGTTTAGGGTTTAGGATTTAGGGTTTAGGGTTTAGGATTTAGGATTTAGGGTTTAGGGTTTAGGGTTTAGGATGTCAAGAGGCAGGCAAAACGTCCACACGAGCATGTCGGCACTGGCGCTCAGGCACTTGATTAGCAGCCTGAGTCCGGCAAGCAACTGGGAGTTTCCGATAAAAGGGGACCCAAATAGGGGTTCCTTTAAAGGGTGCTATAAGGGCTCCTTTAAGGGATCTATAGGGTTTAGGGTTTAGAGTTTCCGAAAAAAGGGGACCCTAATACAGTACCCTAAATAGTAGGATTTCTATTATAAGGACCCCAAAATCAGGTACCCCTATTTTCGGGAACTCCCAATTTATCATAGGTCATAGGGGCCTTCGAAGGTAAGAGTAGGGCTTTGGGGTTTTTTATGCTAGAATCATGATAAGAAACCCCAAATAGCATTTCCAGACTAGTATGATTTATTTAAGGGCATTACAGTATCCTTGTAGTAGCCCTTATTTAGAACCCTTTTGAGGATCCCTTTAAAGGGACTCCTATGGCTCCTGTTGTAGCAGTCCAGTAATCACCGAGAGTGAGAGTGGGGCCTCCTCGTCTCAGGTTGTACATGGGGGGTATCTCTATTACTAGCGGTTGATGATATAAATCCTGCATTACCCATAATAAGGAATATACCATAATTCCCATAGTTTCGGGTCCTTAAGGTAATGCAGGATTTATATCATCAACAGTAGGCCCTTGGAACCAACAACATACATGGGTGGTTGTCACAATTAGGGTCCCTTGTTGGGTCCAAATTATAGTACGGCACCTAATATTTAGGGTACCCAAAAAGGGACCATTATTTTGCAATGAAACCCTAAACCCCTAAACCCTAAGCCCTAAACACTAGAACCCTTGGTTTTTTTGCTATAGTTAAAGCAACAACGACTTCTTTCCTTACGAGGATTAGGGCTCTACAGAACTTCTACGAGGGTTCGGGAAATCAGTGAGTGGGTTATATACCGGTTACACGTAGCTATGTGGGTTTCTCTGCTTATGGCCCAACTTATCACGTACGACCAGGATCCACTGAAATTTAGGAATAAACAGTGCTCCCTTTCCCTGGGCATCAAATAGCCCAAAAGCCTTATATAGTGGGGTCTTGGGGCCCAAAAACCTTGATATATGAGTCCTTAGATCCCTATAGGGTTTTGTGATTGGGCAGCGAAGACCATAAAAAGGAAGAAAGGATTCACTGGGAGACTTAGACTCAGTCCACCCGTGTAATAACGCTTACAGCATTCCCAAAGTAGCCCCGATAGTAAGCCCTTTTCGCAATCTGTATAGTATCCCCCCAATAGCCCTTATGGTAGCCCTGAAAGGAACCCTGATAGCCACACCCGAAACCCTTGTACAGAAACACTTGTAGCTAAAGCATAAACCCTTAAAGCAGCCCTCAACGACCCCTCCAAGACCACGTAAAGGAACCCTGAAAAAACCCTCGAAGGACCCTCGGGCTAAAGAGTCGGCTAAGGGGCTTAGGGGTAAAGGGTTTCAAGGGTTTAGGGTTTAGGGTTTGGAGGCTTAGGGTTTAGGGAAAGTTTAGGATTTAGGATCTATGTGGGTTTAGGGTCTACCTATATCCCCAAACCCTACATACGACTCTGTGCGTTTCGGTTCGGGGCTCAGTGGTTCAGAGGTTCAGGTTTACAGCTTACAGGTTTAGGATTGCGGGTTCAGTAGCTTAGGGTCTAGAGTTGAAGGCTATGTACGATAAAGTAGCATTGTATGATTCCACAGAGTTCCCTTCAGGTACAGCTCCGGAACAGGGGATCCTAATATAGCACCCAAACAGTAGAATCCTTCTTACAAGGATCCCCAAAACTAGGTACCCCTAATTTTCGGAAACTCCCAAATAGAGCTCCGGAACGCCGAAATGCCGCCCGAGACACTGCAGCGAGGACAGAACACTGCTCATGGTGACCATCCTCGGACCAACGGACCCATCAGGGGTCTACTTGGAGGATCATGGGACTTAGTAATTATGGTTATAAGTACCTTAATTGGGTTTATAAGTACTTATAAGTATAGTTACCCTAATTATAACCCAAGTTACTAAGTCCCATGATCCTTTAAGTACAACAGGTCGATAGGGGTTAGAGTTTAGGGTTTAAGGGCTTGGGGATTAGAGCTTCGGCTCTAGGGTCTAGGGTCTTTATAGGGGGTAAAGTGTTTCAATGGTTGAATGGCCGATCGGTCTAGGGTTTCAGGGTTTTAGGGGTTTAGGGGTTTAGGGTTTTAGGGGTTCAGGGGTTTAGGGTTTAGGGTTTAGGGGTTTAGGGTTTAGGGTTTAGGGTCCCTCTTGAATGCGATAGCAGCCCTAGCATGAACTGACTATATTCCATTTGGTGTCTGTGGTATGGGTCTTCTAACTACATGGTGCGCGGCGCATGTGCGCCCTGCTGTTTATTGAGTCTGAGAACACGAAAGCACTGGTAAACACGATACATTATGCAGGTAGGATTTAACAGGGGCTTTGGGACAGAAATATTAGTTTAGGTTCGGTTGTAGAGTGACTGCTCGCTTCACACTTTGCGGTATTTCTCTACTGCACTGTTTGCGTTGCGTTCGCGGCTGCAAGAATCAGACTGCATCATTGCAGTCTATCTTCCCCCCAGAGCTGCTCTCATGATACTGCTGATGGACAAAATCCTGCATGACCCTAAGGACTCTAAACTATGGGAACTATGTAACTATGGTCTATTCCTTATAATACGTAATGCAGGATTTTGTCCATCATCAGCATTTCCTGTTTGACTGTAGGGGAAAGTAGAAAACGGCAGCACGTGGTCCTACGGTTGATGATATAAATCCTGCATGACCTTAAGGACCCGAAACTATGGGAACTATGGTATATTCCTTATTATGGATAATGCAGGATTTATATCATCAACCGTATTTCCTGTTTGGGGTTCCCACCTTGCAGTTGTCTAAAGAGTCATGCTCAGGGGCTCCCCCAGATGAGGGCAACCAACGATGGCGAAGATGTTTGAAGCTACGGTTTCGGTACCACAGAAGCCTAGACCGAAGAGTAACCTAGGAATAAAAAGGGTGCCCCTATTTTGGTTTAAAGGGGCTTATAAGGGAACCTGAACCCCCAAAAAAAGGGAATAAGGGCCTACTCTGGGTCCTAGAAGCTGCTTCAGGGTGTGAGAACTTGAGTCAGCTTTTTTTGTTGGGGTTGTGGGGATCGGGCCTGGAAGTTCTGAGCTTGCAACGGTGTTTTGTTTAGGGTTTAGGGCCTAGGGTTCACGTCTTGAGGGTTTACAGTGAGGTAGCAAAGTCTACTCCCTGTAGTGCCTAGAAGCCTGAAAGAAGAGCTTGGGCGCCAAGAAGCAGTAGAATGATCGTTATCATCGCCCCGCCCCCCATCCCCCCCCTCCCCCCATCCCCCTTTCAAACCTGCCGCAGCCTGAGAAATCTGAAGAAAGTCCGAAGCCCGACTGCCCACCGTCACAGCCTGAGGAGTCCGAAAAAACAGACCGTCTAAAACTGAAGGGTCTGGAAAAGCAGAATGTCCGAAAGGCCCAGATGATCCCAGAAAATCCGAAGAACTTACCCGCCTCGCAAAGACCGAGTCGAAAAGCCCGGAAGTGAAGGAAAACACAGGGGCGCAGACGCGCCACGCTCCAACTACATGCCCGAATACTCGGGATGTTGAGGCTTTTGGGATTTGGGTTTGAGGCTTAGGGCTCAGGCTTAGCTTAGGGTCTTTCGGGCTTCTTTACGGATGGACGGCTGAAATGAACGCCCTGAAAGGTTCAGACTACTAGCCTTGCGCAACGCTCATGCGACTGTTCTTGCTTTAGCTCTTCTTGGTGTACTAGCTGTAGCACCATCAGAATCCTCAACCCGGAACCCAAACCTCTCAACCCGAAGTCCCGATAAAGGACCCGAAAGCCTTAAACCCTGAAACCTGAAAACTGACCAACAAGCCCTAAAACCTCAAACCATGAAACCTATACCCTAAAACCCTGAAGCCTAAAGCCTCATACCCCAAAAAACCCTAAACCCTAATGCCCTAACACCCTAGAACCCTGGGATTTGGAGGACGAGGCGCCGCAGAGCTCGCGCCAGCTTTCCGATCCGAAGAAGTCCTTGGTTTAGGGTTTAGGGTTTAGGATTTAGGGTTTAGGGTTTAGGGTTTAGGATTTAGGGTTTAGGATATTAGGGTTTAGGGTTAAACGGAGCCCTTAAAAGGGAACCCTAAACCATCCTCTGAAGGAACCCTGAACACCCGTTAAAGGGTTCCTTTAAGGGAACTCGTTGGGTTTCTTTCCTCCTGCTTTTTAGGGAACTTTGGGGGTTCCTGTAAGGGTTTCAGGGTTTAGGGATGTATAGGGTTTAGGGTGCAGGGCGTAGGGTTTAGGGAAGGGTTCCTTTACAGGTTCTTCACGGGTTCTCCAAGGGTTTCAGGTTTGGGGAACTTTCAGTATGCTTTTAGGGCTCTACAGATTCTTGGCTGACTTCTGAACGCCTCCAGTTAAACTTTCAGCCTCCTTATTATAGTTCATATAGAAACGCAAAAGTTGAAGTCCTAAGAGCCAACCAGAAGAACTCCAAGGATTGTGTTTTAGGGGTCATCCTTTGAGATGTTTCTTTTTCTCGGGCTGCTTTTCTGGCCCTCGGGGCATGATGCTGGGTGCGGAATGTTGCTTTTTTCCACCGGTTGGTACAGTTTCATGGCCTTGGGCAGCCTCTGGGGTCTTCAGGGTTTAGGGTTTAGGGTTTAGGGTTTTTGGGAATTAGGGTTTTTGGGGCTTGGGATCACTTGGACCCCGCTTTTGCGAGCTATTTCCGGACGACTTTGCAGCTGCTGGTTGCAGCTGAGTCTGCAACCCCGAGACTGCAAAACAGGTTTATTAAGGACTATACCAAACCACCTTTATATTAAGGAATATACCAAAGCAAAAATTTATAAAGGAATATACCCTGAATCTTATTTGGGTTCCGATTGTATTGTAAGGTATATTCCTTCAGTAAAGGGTTCTGAGACTTTCGGCTGTAGCTAATCGGTTGGAAATTTGAAACAGGAACAGCAAGCGTAGCAGCGTAGCAACGGCAGGGGCAGTCATGGTGGTAACATAGGGGCCTTAACAATGAGAATAGGGTTTTGGAGCATATGATACTAATGATAAGGAACCCCCAAACCAGTATAGGTAGCTACTCAGGCCCCTATATGAACAGTGCTGCTGCAAGCTCTGCTCCCAAGTGGAACCTTTGGCAAGTACCCACAGCGCAACTGCGGAAAACGATCTGATCAACCCTGAGCACCTAAAGCCAAAACTCGCAAAACCCTAAACTCTACCTCAATCCCTAAGCCCTAAACCCCACCCCCACCCCCCGTCCCGCAGTAAAAAAACGACACACCCCCCAAAACGACTCAACCCAAAACAAGACTCCGAAGCACTAGGTCTGGAAAACAAGGCTTGTGTCACGTTCGTACTTTCTTCATATGGCATTTGTCTAATGCTACTTTGAGGAATCTATAGCAGGTTGAGGGGTTTGAGGTTCAGGGTCAGGACTTACGGTGTAAGCGGTAAAGTACAAGGCCTAGTTGTTGCTTCGGTCGTGGCTCGACTGTCCTTCAAGTTTAATGGTTTATAGTGAACCCTAGCAAGTTGGAACATGAGTTTAAGATGCTTAGTGCTAGGATTCCCTCTACTTTACCTTAAGGGAATGAGGATAATTATGATCCAACTTTCTGGCTTCTACTGTAATGGCTTTTGAAAGCTTGACTCAACGTTTAGGGCCACGAAGGAGCGGACGCCACACCAATCCACCGAGGAACTAATGACTAATGGCCAAATCTACGCTCACCGAGTCTCGAAACAGCATTGGGTTCACGGTCATTTGCGACACGACCAGCTCCACAACAGAAGCTGCAGTAACGAGAAGGTCAATGTAGTTCATGCAGACCTGCCAAGAGGTAAACGGTGATGCAGTTGCGTAGTTGCGGCAGCTCTACAGTGGCAGCCGCAGTGACGAAGCGGGGACAGCAACAAAACCCACACACCACTGCAATCCTCACCAAACCCAGTTCTGACCAATATGAAACAAATATCAGCACGAGTATAAGAGTGATGGCAACACTGCAGAATGCTGCGGGAAGCCTGCCAGCAAAATCCCATTGGCGCAGTAAGCAGCACAACACTCCCTTGACTCGGTACGCAATGTTGACAGTAAGAGGAACTACAGCAAGAAATTACCAGAAAGAGTGGTAATGGTAGGGATTGGAATCATGGCAGCCAACAACCGGGTAGTAACATGGTCACTAATCGGAGGCTAAATGACCTACATAACCATCAACAAGTCAAAGAAGCAACGATGGAAGTGCTACTCCTGCAAAGTTTCAAGATGGCATGAGCAGAACCAACTGCAAGATTCGCACTACCCCGATCAGCCTTTGCATGCAAACACACACACACACACACACACACACACACACACACACGCACTAACACATCCGCATGCCCACATCGCGCCAGCACGGGAAGCCAAAGTTGAAGAACACGACGAAGTAAAAGACGGACGTTGTTCCACTACAGAGGCTTTCGGCTTTCAGGTAAGGGCTACGAACTTGAAAGCCCTAAACCCTAAGCCCTAAACCCCAATCCCTGAACCCCTGTGCTCTCTAAGATGATAAGGGCCTTAAGCAGTGCTTAGACTATTCAAGCCCCAAAAGGGCACAATTAGGGCACTGTTGTGGCTTTGCAGGTTTTTCGGTCTGGGTGCTTTCGGGCCCAGTTGACACTTTAAACTTTAAACCCTAAACCTAAACCCTGCGCCCTAAACCCCAAAGCTTGAACCCTACACCCCAAACCCTCAACACCAAACCCACAAATCGTGAACCCTACACCCCAAACCCTCAACACAAAACCCACAAATCGTGAACCCTACACCCCAAACCCTGAACACTAAACCTAAGCCCCAACCGGAGAGATGGGAGCCTGGAAGCTTCAAGCTCTGGAGCCTGCCTGAACCCAACCCCAAACACCAAAACCTAAGATTTAGCGTTTAGGTTTTCTAGAACAAATATGGAAAGACTAGAGGGCAAGATTAGGTTGCTGTTTCAATTGTGGTTTCGGGTCTAGGGTTTAGGATTTATAGGGTTTTCAGTCTAGAGTTACCCTAAACCCTTACCGCCCCAATATGTAAACCCAAGCGACCCCATTGGGAGGATCATGGGACTTAGTAATTATGGTTATAAGTACCTTAATTGGGGTTTTAAGTAACTATAAGTATAGTTACCTTAATTATAACCCTAGTTACTAAGTCCCATGATCCTTTAAGTAGACCCTAGAACACCTCTTATAGAACCCCTATAGATCCCTTTAAAGGAGCCCTCTTAAGGAACCCCAAAGTTACTAAGTCCCATGATCCTTTAAGCAGATATTTCGGAAAAATTGGGCCCTGGGTGGCCGGGAAAGCCTTGGGGCTCAGGGCTGTGAGCCCAAGCCACAGATGGGTGATTGAGGGATGTATAGGGTTTTGGGTGCAGGGCGTAGGGTTTAGGGTAAGGGTTCCTTTACAGGATATTCAAGGGTTCTCCAAAAGTTTCAGGTTTGGGGAACTTGAAGGAGCTTTTTAGGGCTCTACAGATCCTTGGCTGACTTCTGAACCCCTCCAGTTAAACTTTTAGCCTGCTTATTCTAGCTCATATAGAAACCAAAAAAGTTAAAGTCCTAAGAGCCAACCAGAAGAAACACCAAGAGTTATGGTCCCTTTTTGGGTACCCTAAATATTCGGTGCCGTATTCTAGTAAGGACCCAAAAAAACTAATATTGAAAACCACCCAAATTTCTAAACCCTAAACGCCTTAGGGTTTAGTGTTCGGGGTTTGGGGTGCAATTAGGATCTAGGGTTTAGGGTTACCCTAAACCCTAAACCCTAAAACCAAAACCCTAAACCCAAAACCCTGAACCCTAATACAAGGGCCTTGATAATGAGAATAAGGATTTTTTTGCCTAAGTTAGACTATAATTACAACAAGGAAACCTATATTAGACCCCAAACCCCAAACCCTAAACCCTGAACCCGAAGCCCTTTAGGGCTCTGGATTTAGTTTTTCAAAGCCGCAAAAGCAGGGCAGACGGCGGGCCTAATTCTACCCTATAGACCCCAAGCCCTAAACCCTAAACCCTAAAACCCTAAACTCTAAACCCTAGCCGTGTAGGGTTCTGGGCTAAAGCCCAAGAGCAAAGACCCTAAACCCTAATCCCCATAGATCCCTTTTATGGAACCCTAGAGATCCCTTTAAGGAGCGCTTTCAGAGCCCTCACTAAGTCCCCTGCCCTTCCCCCCGGACCTTGAAGAACCGCCGACCCAGCAAAGCGACGCGAAGACCCACATCGAAGACGAAGAAGGCCGTGAAGATCCCGTCACCGATCCTCGGACTAGGTTTAGGGTTTAGGCGGGCTTAGAGGGCTCAGGGTTTAGAGTTTATAGGGTTTAGGGTTTAGGATTTAGGATTTAGAGTTTAGGGTTGAGGGTTTAGGATTTCGGGTTTAGGGTTTAGGATTTAGGGTTTAGGGTTTAGGACTTAGGGTTTAGGGTTTCTGCTTCCGTAAAGGGTTCCTTAAAGGGATCCTCAAAGGGATCTAGAAGGAGGATCATGGGACACAGTAAGTATGGTATAGGTACATGAACTGGGGTTATAAGTAATTACAAGTAAGTATAGTTCCTCACAATAAGTCCTAGTTGCTACGTCCCATGATCCTTGGAGTAGAGTTCCTTTGAAGCTTGCGTCCTACTATGGGTTCAAGTTGGGATCGGCCCCCGCCCACTAACAGTTGTCACAAATTGAACCACAACGAAAAGCACAAGAAAATCTAGTGGGTTCACCGGTTTTCCAAATATGAAAAATGAACAGCCAAGAGAGCTGAGTGTGAAACCTAAATCCTTGACAAAACAAGCCCCGAAACCATGCTTCCCCTCCCAGCAAAATCGAAATCTGCCGAACGCAAGGCCCAGAACAATTTTCGTTTCCAATTAGTCACTGGGCTGCAACCCTCAACCGAAACATTTTCCATTCCCTCTACGCGCAGCCAGGGATGGCGGGGGGGCCTGGGTGGACGGATCGGACGTGGACCCAGGGGATGGGGCGATTCTGGGTGGTGAGGGCGGGAGGGAGAACGACTGATGCAGCTCCTAAGACCTGGCAGGGCCGTCCAGGGCCTCCCAGGGCCTCCCCAGGCCTGGCACCTTTTGACCAATTTAAACGGCAATCCTGGGTTCTGCTGTAAATTGGAAGTTTTCGTCTAGTTTGTGCTGTTTCTTGTGCTCCAAATCGCAAAACAGTTGTGCGTTTCTTGTGCTGGATTTTGGAGTTTGTGGTCGGGCTTGTGCTCTGGGTTGCAAAACAGTTGTGCGTTTCTTGTGCTTTTTCTTGTGCTCTAGTTAGTGCTTTTTCTTGTGCTGGATTTTGGAGTTTGTGGTCGGGTTTGTGCTCACTTTAGCAAAACAGTTGTGAGTTTTTTGTGCTTCTTCTTGTGCTCTAGTTAGTGCTTTTTCTTGTGCTGGATTTTGGAGTTTGTGGTCGGGCTTGTGCTCTGGGTTGCAAAACAGTTGTGCGTTTCTTGTGCTTTTTCTTGTGCTCTAGTTTGTGCTTTTTTTAAATTAAGACTCAATACGCTGCTTCCCGGGCCGCACTCGAGAGTCACTAGAATATTCTAGTTTGTGTTTTTTCTTGTGCTAGATTTTGGAGTTTGTGGTCGGGCTTGTGCTCTGGGTTGCAAAACAGTTGTGTGTGTTCTTGTGCTTTTTCTTGTGCTCTAGTTTGTGCTTTTTCTTGTGCTGGATTTTGTAGTTTGTGGTCGGGTTTGTGCTCACTTTAGCAAAACAGTTGTGCGTTTCTTGTGCTTTTTCTTGTGCTCTAGTTGGTGCTTTTTCTTGTGCTGGATTTTGGAGTTTGTGGTCGGGTTTGTGCTCAAGTTTAGCAAAACAGTTGTGCGTTTATTGTGCTCAATTTTGCGTTCTAGTTTGGAGATTTTTGGGCAAACTGCTGGCCTGATCCAAATTTCAAGCAAAGTAGTTGTGCTTTTCTTGTGCTCCCTTTTGCAATCTAGTTTGCAGATTTGGCCTGGCCAGAGAGCACCCCGGCCCTGCTGGCCTAGGGCCGGGCGCATTCCGAAACTCTCGTCGGTTTTCTGCAGAAATCCTAAACCCTCCGAAAGCACCAAGCATCAATTATTCTTCAAGCCTCCACTATTTGCCTTTGGGCTAATTACCGAATTGGAACTCTCGGTTCCCGAAATCAAAAACCTGCTGAACAGTTGGGGCCCCCAAGTTTTGGATACTGGATACTCCAAATGCCCAAACCTGGTCAACAGTTGGGGCCCCCAAAATCTGGAAACTCCAAATGCCAACCTCTGGAATCTAAAGCGAGTGCTCCCGAACTCCCAAACCTGCTGAACAGTTGGGGCCCCCCAAAACTGGGAACTCCAGAGGCCTCCAAACAGTTGTGCTTTTTCTGGGGGTGTATATATAAGGAAAGTAGTTTCCCACTGTTACTGGGCGGGGGCCGATCCCAAGGTTCAAGCACCATCACCATTTTTGAGCGTATCTTATAGTAAATTATGGGACATTGTAGTATTTTCGAGTGCATTGCAGTATATTTCAGTGTATTATAGCATTCTGTCGCGGAACATAGTACATTACTTGGAGGGGCAGGGGACTTAGTAAGTAGGTCATAAGTAGTGTTCTAAGCACCCGAGATTGAGTTACCCCAATTGTACCCCCACTTATAACCTACTTACTAAGTCTCCTGCCCCTCTAAGTAAGAATCGTCATGGCGGTTAAGTCTTTACCAGCTTTTCGCTGGAGGAGTCCAAGCAGCTGGAAAGCCACGTCGATGCTGGGCAGCCACTCTTGCGGGATGATGCTCCTTGCTTGTAGGTTTTGGTTTCAGAGGTTTAGGGTTTATGCGTGTAGGATGGTTTAGGGATTAGGGTTTAGGGGTTGGGGTTTAGGGTCTAGGGCTTGGGGTTTAGGGAGGGGATGGGATTTAGGGTTTAAGTGTTCAGGGTTTCTTGGAGATTCCTTGACATTAGGGGTTCTTCTTTTGGAGAATCTTGAACATCATGATCACGCCAGCTGGGGCCTTCCCAAAGCCCTGAAACCCGAAGCACTTTGACCCTAAAACCTTTGCCCTAGATCCTAGACCATTTCTAAATCCAATACCCTTGACAGTAAATCCTAAATAGCCGTAGAGCCCTAAAAAACCCAAGCCCTACACCCCACACTCCCTAAACTTCCCTAAACCCTACTATAGATCCCTTCTTAAAGAACCCTTACAGATCCTTTGAGGAGCCCTTATACTTGGCTGACTTCTGAACCCCTCCAAAAAGTTAAACTTTTAGCCTCCTTTTTGTGGCTCAGATATAGAAACCCAAGAAGCTAAAGTCCTAAGAGCCAACCAGAAGAACGCCAAGTATAGATCCCTTTCAAGCCCTGAATCCCAAACCGTAGCTCTCACTCCGTCCCAGGCTCTCTGCGACCACGCCGACCCTGAGAGGAGCGATGGAGGTTTAGGGTTTAAGGCTTAGGGTTTAGCGTCTATAGGGTTTAGGGTTTAGGTTTAAGGTCTAGGGTTTAGGGTCTATAGGGTTTAGGGTTTAAGGTTTTTGTTGAACGTCTTTTTCCACCTAGCCTGTTTGTATGTCGGTAGAATCCACATCCTAGGGTTTAAGGTTTAGTGTTTAGGGCGTAGGGTCTATAGGGTTTAGGGATTGGAATTTAGGGCTTAGGGTTTAGGGTTTTTCGTTTAGGGTTTAGGGTTTAGGGTCTAGGGTTTAGGGTTCAGGGTTTCGGGCTTAGAGTTGTCAACTTCTCTTTGCTTAAGGTACTTTGGTTTCTCAATCGTCGTACTTGTCGCACTTTCTCCCTCCTGCGCTTTTTCTGGGGATGGCAAATTGCAGCTTTAGAGTGTTCGCCGAGACCCCAATCCTCTGTAGAACGTGCACCTGCCCATATACAGTCCATATAGAACCTGAACCAAAACGGTCACGGTCTCTCCACCGGACTCCCATATACCCAGCTCGAAACCAAACCCTTAAATCCAACACGCTTGAACCCAAACCCAAGGCCCCAAACCGTTAAACCCACTCTGGCCCTAACCCCGAAACCCAAACCCAAAGCCCCAAACCCTTAAACCCTTAAACCCTGGCCCTAAACCCCGAAACCCAAGTCCCCTTAACCCTAAACCCTACTGTAGATCCCTCAAAAGGAACCCTTAAAGGAACCCTCCCCTAAACCCCTAAACCCCGGAACCCAAGTCCCCCTCCTGAGGCCAAGTTTTGGAACCCGAAACCCAAACCCGAACCCCCCAAGACCTGTCGGCAATCGCACTCCAAGGAGCTCGTAGGCTCGGTAGGAGCCATAAACCTGCCCAGAGAGCGCAATACTTGGAGGGGCAGGGGACTTAGCAAGTAGGGTTATAAGTAGAGTTATAAGTACCCTAAATGGAGTTACCCCATTTATAACCCTACTTATAACCTACTTACTAAGTCCCCTGCCCCTCCAAGTACACTATCAATTAAGGAATAAACTACACGGTGCTTCTTCTTATTGTGATGCAAAAAATACATACGGCTTTAACGCCCCAGAGAGCTTCCTTTCTATGAGTTTCAGGAAAGTTCAAGGGTGCATCCCAAAGGGTCCATGTACCCGAGTAGTATACACCTTGGCCATAACAGTGGTCCCTATCTGGTCTTGAGGGCCAGAGTATATACTAGTTGGGACTACCTATTTGGGTACATGGATCCTTAAACTCTAAACCCCAATGGTACCCTGTAGAACCCGTAAAGGAACCCTGTTTGGGCACACGGACCCTTAGGGTGCATGAGGTACTCTGGGTTCCTGTGCCCATGCCTTACGGCCTTGGACTGTGGACAACGATTTCAAGTTGCCGAGGTTTAGGTTTGAGGCGTTACTTGGAGGGGCAAGGGACTTAGCAAGTATGGTTATAAGTAGAGCTATAAGTACCCTCAATGGAGTTACCCCAGTTATAACCCTACTTATAACCTACTTACTAAGTCCCCTGCCCGTCCAAGTAGGTTCAGGGGTTTAGGGTTTACAGGTTTAGGGTTTACGGAGACCCTAAACGGATTTCGAAAGTCAGGGCTTTAGGGTGTAGGTTCGGGGTCCGGGGCTTTAGGATCTGAGGCTCTGTTATGCATTGGGTGCTGCCCCCACCCTGTACCCAACTCATGTAATCTAGATCTTCAGTCGTTAGACGTGGGGACTTTTGGATTAAGGCCTTTGGGGGTTTGGTGGCTAGGCCTGGGGTGAAAACCGGAGAGGGCTTCTCCAAGCAACCTTTCGAAACCGGAAGCTTCATTGAAAAACACCGAAACCACTGAAAACATAAGTCAAAGCGGCTTAAAGCAACAGAACAAGACCCTGTAGTGGCACATACCGAAACATGAAACTCCTGCAAAACACTGTAGAACCGAAATCATAAGACGACATTACCCAAACTCTGGACTTCGAACCCTCTCGATGGAAACGACCACTGACACCCCTAGAAAACCACGGAAAACACTTATTGAGAACCCCGTCCTGTGGGGGGGCTAGGGCCATGAACAACCTAAACCCTTCTAGGCCAACCTGACGGCAATGCTCCTGCACAAGAGTCCTTCTAGCAACCCTCAGACTTAACCTCCAGTAACCCTTGAAAGAGCCCTCATAGTGAACCGTATCCCCTAAACCCTAAAAACCTCAAGTTGCCTTAAAGAGCCCTCATAGCAATAAAAACTTATCCCCTAAACCCTAAACCCTAGTCCCGAAACCCTCTAGCCACCCTTAACAGCCCTCACAGTAAATCCGCAAACCCTTAAACCCTACACCTCTAAACAACCCTAAACCAAAAAACTTAAGACCCTAAAACCCTACGAAAATTAAACCCTAAAACCCTGAACCAAAAAAAACCTAAATCCTAAAATCTTCAAATTCAAACTTGATTAGCAGCCTGAAGCTCCAGCGCCATCCAGAGAACATTGATGCAGAGCACGGTGGTGATGAGCATCTCAAACCTGCACCATGGGGGGTTTAGAATTTAGGGTTAGGGTTTAGGGTTTAGGGTTTAGGGTTAGGGTTAGGGTTAGGGTTTAGGGTTTTTCTTCAAGGGATCTATAATGTGTGATTTAGAGGAATCTATCGGGGTTTTTCCTTCAAGGGATCTATACTTGGAGGGGCAGGGGACTTAGTAAGGGCTCTTAAAGGGCTCTTTAAAGGGATCGATAGGGTTCCTTAAAGGGGACTATGGGCCGGGTTTAGGGTTTAAGGTCTAGTTGGAGGGGCAGGGGACTTAGTAAGTAGGGTTATAAGTAGAGTTACAAGTACCCTAAACGGAATTTCCCCGATGATAACCGTACTTATAGCCTATTTACTAAGTCCCCTGCCCCTTCACGTATGGGTGCCTATAGAGGAATCTATAAGGGGGTTTAGGAGCATCTCAAACCTTCACACGGCATTGGGTGTTTTAAGCTTTGGGGCTTAGGGTTGCTTTTTGCTTTAGGGCTCAGTGTACCTCGCCCCAACCCCCAAAAGACAAAAGTCACACGCACTGACCCCAACGACTCTGAAAAAACAATCAAGACCAAGTAGATCCCTTGAAGGAACCCTCAAAGCAACATTTAAGCAAAGGAACCCTTGAAGAAATCCGAACAGGAACCCTCGAAGCCTACAACAAGAATTCTTAAGAATGGCTCACAAAAACCCAAGAAAGCAATATCACAAGCATAGTGAACCCATCAGAGGAACCCTTGGGGTATCCTGGGCCCCAAACCCCCTAAACCCCTAAACCCCTGAAAACTCTGAACCCTAAACCCCCAAACCCCCAAACCCCCAAACCCCCCAAACCCTAAACCCCTACACCCCTACACCCTAAACCCCTAAACCCAAAGCCCCCCAAAACACCGTAAATCCCTAGACCCTAAGCCCTTACGGAAACCGCGGTCGCCTAAACCCTAAACCCTAAACCCTAAACCCTAAACCCTAAACCCTAAACCCTAAACCGACCTGCTTGACTGCAACCAGAGACGAAGCTTCTCGAGACCAGTGATCTCTCCAGCCTCTCCACCTAACAAAGGGGCTCATGGTTTAGAGTTTAGGGTTTAGGGTTTAGGGTTTAGGGTTTAGGGTTTAGGGAACTCCAGAAAGTTGGAATATGGTTTCAAGGTAGGATACCCTATAATTTACCATAGAAGGGTTTAGGATAATCATATTCCAACTTTTTTGGGCTTTTACTTTAACAAGGGTTCATGGGTAGCTATAACCCAGACCCCCGGGAGGATCTAGAAAGTAGATCCCCTATTCCTCCCGGGGGTCTGGCTAGGTGGGGTTATAAGGCTCCTGTAAAGGATCCATAAGGGCTCCAAAAGGGGTCTACTTCGAGGTTCATAGGCTGTTTTAAGTGAGGTTATAATTCCTCTAGTGTATGCGACAACCATTGTTATCCTACTTATAAGCCTACACCCTAAACTCTGAAACTTGAACCCTAAACCCTAAACCCTAACCTACTTCTAACTACCCATGAACCTCCAAGCAGGGGTTTGAGGGTGCTCCAGGTTCTCAAATGAGAATTTCGAACGAAGATTTTAGAGGGTTTTGCTGCGTGCCTGGTTTTCTGGGGTTTAGAATGCGTTTAGGCTTTAGAACAGGGGTTTGGGCTTAGGGCGGTTAGGATCTTGAACTAGGTCTTAGAGCTTTTAGGGTTTGGGGTTCAGAAACTAAGACTTGATTTGAGAGTTCTAGAGCGAGCTTCGTCGAAGGGATCGCTATATTTGGTCCTTCATTCTCACAACATGGGTTTAGGGTTTGGGGGTTCTGGGGGTTCTTGAATGGCTCTTTAAGAGATTCCTTGATGTCGTTTCAAAGGGGTCTTCAGTGGCCCTTTGAGGGATCCTGTAGTTGGTAGATGTCTTCTCATGATTTGAACTACGTAATTAGGGTTCCTTTGAGGTTTCCTCGAAGTGGTCTTTTCATGGCATGGTAGGAGGAGATTTCGGCTGTCGCACAGATGCCGAAAGAACTCGAACTCGGCTTAACAGCAGTGTTACAAAGCTGTATGAAGGGTCAAATCGACCTACTTCAGGATTTACTGCTGGATTCGGGACTTAACAAGTAGGGTAGGGTCTGTGGATGTTTGCCGCGCAGGTGGTTGCTCAGCGCCAAACCCTCCATGCACAAAACCCACGGGCCATCCCAACTGCAAAGGTTGAACTTGTCACCGTGAGGGTGCTGGGTTCAAGGGCTGAAGATTTGGGCGTCGTACGTGGAAACGTACGCAGAAGTAGGCTGTTGATCCCAGAATTAAACCCGAATCCTTTCCCCTGGTGCCTTCAAACACTCAGATCGAAGCCTCAAGCCTCTTGTCGTCATTCTAGACCGCAGAGGCCCAGCCCTGAACCTCCAAACCCTGAATCCCACGCCCCAAACCCTCAATCCTACAGGGAACTCCAGAAAGTTGGAATATGGTTTCATGGTAGGATACCCTATAATTTACCATAGAAGGGTTAGGATAATCATATTCCAACTTTCTGGCTTTTACCTTAAACCCATAACCCCCAACCCTGAACCCCTTTATAGAACCCTTATAGCTCCTTTGAAGGAGCCCCCCTCATGGATCCGTTTAAGGGAACCCTAAACCAGTTCAAAAAGTGTCAAGGCGCTTCTCCACTCGAAGGGGCTCGTGGTGAACTTCCTCGTTTTGGGGTTCAGGGCTTCGGGTTTGAAAGCATTGCTTGAACGGTTTTCGGCTTTAGAGTCTAGAGTTTGCAAGCGTTATTTAAGAGGCTTTATGGTTTAGGGTTTAGGGTTAGGGTTTCGAGTTTGAGAGTTTACAAGCGCTATTAAAGAGGTTTTGGGGTTTGGGAATTTAGGGTTGGTGTTTAGAGCTTGAGAGTTTATAAGCGTTAATCATGAGGTTTTGGGGTTTTGGGGCTTTGGGGCTTAAGTAAGGTGTAAGGTTTAGGGTGAGGGTTTAGAGTTTGAAGTTTATAAGTCTTATTAAAGAGTTTTTGGGGTTTAGGGTTAAGGTTCAGAGTTTAAGAGTTTATCAGCGTTATTCAAGAGGTTTTGGGGTTTGGGGTTTAGGTTTTCGGGTAAGGGTTTGGACGGTTTGGAGTTTATGACAGCTTTTTCGACTAATTTCTGATTGTTTTCGTTTTGCACTTCCCCCCCCTGAAGCGTTTTGGGAGGTGTATATGTAAGGTTGTGTCTTTAAGGGTTAGGATCATGAAACTCGGGAAGTAGGCCAAGCTGAGCCAAAAGTAATACCGCACTGGGGGTTGCCCCACCTACCTGTACTTACTTGCCTACTTGTCGGGTATTGCGGGGAACTAAGGGTTATAGGGATTATATAGGGGCTATACTACCCACAAAGAGCAGGACATTCCGAAGTCCCACCGCTGCTCTATCGTGCGACAGCTGGTGTCGCCAGGCCTTAGTGAGGCTCTTGGCCTGCGCTGCAGTGATGAACTTTCCGTTCAACCCTGCGCCCCACGCAGCCTTAGTCGCCAGCACCGTGGCCATGATAGCCTTTTTGAGGTGAACTGAAACCGGAAGGATGGAGGCTCCTCCAGCCAGCAGAAGCACGCTGTGCTGCCTGTCTTCTGCATCTTTCGTGAGGTTCCTACGTTCGGGGCCCAGAGAGGCACCAAGGACCTTCATGGTACGGTTGATGATATGAATCCTGCATTACCTTAAGGACCCTAGACTATGGTAATTATGGTATATTCATTATTATGGGTAATGCAGGATTTATATCATCAACCGTAGCTTTAGCTTCCCGACCTGACTCTTCGAGAAGGGCCTTGGCCTGCGCATTGCGGTACCAGTGCTGAGTGCTGAGTTTTGTCGGGGTGCGTTTTGAGGCGCCCGCTGTAACCCATCGTCTCAAACTCTTCCCAAAATGCTTTCCCAGGCCAACAAGTCCTGTGGTCTCCTATGGAGTGACGTACGGTCGTCCATGTAAAGAACCTGGTGCGAGCGAGGAACGGTCGCGAGTGCCTCTTTGTGGGGCCCTGCAAGGATCAAGCTCATGGCTAAGGGCGCCCAGGGGTCGCCCTGAAGTAAGGCCTGACAATTGGAAACCGGCTGCGGGTGCACGCAGCCCCCGTAGCAGAGCCAACGATCCTGGCACCGCCAGATGTCAGTGAGAGGCACCCCTGCACGGCGCAATAGCGCGCAGGCCACTGCGTGGTCTGTGGAGTCAAAGGCCTTAGCATAGTCCAGGCTGACACCAAACGGATGGCTTGAGGCCGAGGTCTCCTCGGTGATGCTCAAGAGCAGGGTCTGGGCATCGTGGGTGGGAAGCCCCCCCGCTTGAAGCGGACCGAGCAAGGTTCTGTCAAGCTTTTTGACGACTCTACTACTAGGCTTAATGTCTAGCCCCCTGACTCCCAAAGTAGGGCTTGGGATCCAAGTTGGCGGGTTCGGGAATTGGAATAGTGATCTGGACGCTAGCATGGTACATCCTCCCCCTAATCCTGACACCCTAAACCCCAAACCTTAAACCAGAACCCAGGGAGTCGAGACCCTAAACCCTGCAATCCAAAATCCTAAAGTGGAGACCCAACAGTCTGTCCAAAACCTGCTGAAAGGATCATGCGACTTAGTAATTACGGTTATTATTTGGGTAACTATAGTTATATACTTACCTATAACCCCAATTAAGGTACTTATAACCATACTTACTAAGTCTCATGGTCCTCCAAGTGCATCCCAACCCTAAACCCTAAACCCTAAACCCTACACCGATGTGTGGGTTCGAGACTTGGATTAAGGTTGCAGGGCTTAGGGGCTTTGGCATCATAAAACTCGACTACAGAGGTTTGAGGGACACTGGATCTAAGTAGGCTATGGTAGGCTGCGGTACATCCTCAACCCTTCACCCCAAACAATCCCCGAGCCTGGTCCTTACATCCGAATAGAAGGGCTTCAATCTTTAGAGTAGGGTGTCGGAGTTCGTCGTAATTCTCTTTGCAAGCAACCCAAAGGAATAATAGTGGTACCGGTACTCATTATTCAAGCCCCTACATCACATGGGCTCAGAGCTCAAGGTTTAGGCTTCTGTACTCCGAAACCCTAAACCCTTGGATGAGCCCTACTCCGAGGATCACGAGACTTAGGAACGACTTTTACTAGGTTACTGTACTTCGATCTTCTTACAATCGCGATTGAGGCACTTGTAACCAACCGTACTAAGTCTCATACCCTCCCCTTTTTGAACTCTTACAGATCCCTTTAAGCAACCTTTAAGGATCCCTACTTACTAAGTCCCATGATCCTCCAAGAGCAACCATCGGTGATTTGGGTTTAACTCTCCCATTGATTCCTGCAATTGCCTAGGAGTTTTGGAGTATAGGGTTTACCTGGTGATCCAAAAACCTACTGTTGGAGGGGTTAGACCCTAAAATTAAGGGGTCATGACCTAGCATTTTGTAGGTAGGGGTTACAGAGTTTAGGGAGTAGGGTTTAGGCTTCAGGCATATAGGGATTAGGGTTTAGGGTTTCAAAGCTTAGGGAGTAGGATTTCTGGGTTCGGGGTTTGGGGGTGCAGAGTTTAGGGTTTCGGGTCTCAAAGTTTCGGGTTTAGGGTTTAAGAATTTAGGGATTACTTGATTAGGGTTTAGGGACTAGGGCCTGACTTGGGCCAGGGCTTGGGGTTCGGGGATCGGAGTTTAGGGCACTCTTCGGCCAGGTCTTCCGCGAATTTTCCAAGCACATCCGAAAGGCCCCTCTAATAACATGCCGAAGTGGGCTTTTAGGGTTTCGGGTTTAGGGCTTAGGGTTTAGGGCTTAGGGTTGAAGGTTTAGGTTTGAGCGTTTAGGGTTTAGCCACAATAACTAGATTGGGTTCTGGTGTAGATTATGGTATAACGACACCGCGAGTTTCCGCATGCGCTGGCAGAGGCCGGCCATGCCCGTATGCTTGATGGATCTCTTTTCAAAGAAGGGAGTATTGAAAATGAGATCTTCCATCACGCCTGCGTCGAAAAGGTGCGTTACCACGGCTCTGGGGCCACCTTCGAGGATGATCCTCGGCTTCTCCTTGCCAAATGCCGTCCCCTGTCCCAATCCAGCAGAGGAGAGGGCGTCCCTGAACGCCACGCTGCTCCACTTGTTGGATTTATACTTTTCCGGCGTTGCGATCATCCTCTCATGGATCTCGTCAACCAACCCTAAACCCTAAACCCTACTACTACTACTACTACTACTACTACTACGACTACTACGACTACTACGACTACTACTACTACTACTACTACTACTACTACTACTACTACTACTACTACTACTACTACTACTACTACTACTACTACTACCCAACATGTCCACAGTCTGGAAACGTCCAACCCTCAAGACTCTCAGTCGGGTATCCTTTTCTCTCTGGGCGGCTCATATACCTAAAGTGCCCTAAACCTGAAACATCCTGAAACCCCAAACCCTAAACCCTGAACCCTAAACCCTAAACCCTAAATCCTGAAACCCCAAACCCTGAACGAAAAGTCCGACTCCAGGCAATCCCAGGAGCAGCTCCGACGTCGTGGGAGAGGCGCCAAGCGCCTCTGCAGGTTATCTTTTCTGGATGCCCTTTACCTTTTGGGTTCCCTTTAAAGGGTTCATTTAGGGGTTCCGTTAAAGGGAACGGAAAGGTCTACAAGGTTCCTTAAACCGATCTATAAGGATTCTTGGGTTTGGGGGTTTACTGTCTGGTTCTTAGCAGGGAATGGGGGAATTGATTGTGGAGACGTTATATAGGGACTACTTTAGGGATCCATTCCCCCATTCCCTACCAAGCACCAGACAGTAGATTAACGTTAATGTCGAATTCGGAGGAGCCAGTTGGGCGGAGCTCACAGAAAGACAAGCCAGTACTAGCCGCAAAAATAGTAACTTACAATGTATACGCGTTAATGATTGCCTATACCGTTCTTGGTGGGTTGCTTACGTATTATAAGTATAGTATAATGGGGCCTCGCTTTTGAGGCATCCGCTGATAAGTAAAGAGCCACTAGCAACACACTAGCAAGTACCGATATCACTTCACCACCTTCCTGCAATGGCTCTCAACAGGATCGCCTGCAAACGAGGACATCCGTGACTCAAGCTAGCCAGGTCAAGCTGTTGTTTGCTTGGGCCCTTGCCACCTCCAAATATGAGGGTTTTAGGCATTAGGTCATGAGAGCTTTAGGGATTTAGGGTTTCAGGCCTAGGATCTAGGGTTCACAGGAGCATTGCGGCTTGAGGGCTATGCAGGCTTTGAGGGATGTCTCTTGGATGCAGGCTTTGAGGGATGTCTCTTGGAAGCTGTCCCCACCCTGTAATAGTGACCATAAGGACTATATAGGATTAGATTAGGGCCCTACTATATTCCTATTATACCACTATTACAGGGTGGGGGCAGCTTCTAAGATGTCTAGGAATTATTCGAGACTGAAGGCGCGGAAAGGCGATTACTAGTAAGGTGACGATACTTATTATAGTTACTTATAAACCCAACTAAGGTACTTATAACCATACTTACTCAGTCCCATGATCCTCCAAGTACTGCACAGTGTACATGAGATGGCCCTGACTTTAGACAAGCAGCAACACCCCAAACGGCCCGAATAAGCCCTAAACCAAGTCTTATGTTTAGGGTTACGGGTTTGGGGTACTAATATTACCATGGCACGCAATAAAGCACGACGACACCGTACCCGAAATAGCAACAGTGGAAATAGAAACAGTAGCAGAGACATTGCTAAGGTTGGTAGCAGGAAACATAGCAAACAAAAACAAGGCTAGCAGTGCCAAAACTTTACGAACCCCATACTCCCTAAAGCACCAAACCCGAAATTTCAAAACCCGCCAATCTCCAAAGCCCCAAACTCCCCCATCCTCAAAACAAGCCTTGACTCCCCAATTAATCACTCCAAAACCCTAGAAACCTTTAGCGACCCTCACTACCCAAACGTCCCCAAGCCAAAAAAAACACTCAAGGCTTTGCAACACCTTAAACCCTAAACCCTAAACCCTAAACCCCTAAGCCCCTAAACCCCTAAACCCTAGACCCTAAACCCTAAACCCCTACGCCCCTAAACCCCTAAACCCGAAGCCTAAAACACAACACGGAAGCTTTGCAACCCGGCATCTGCCTGTGAGGTGATCGGTGCTTCGAAAAGTTGCTGGAGAGCCTGCTCTTTGTCTAGGGCCTCAGGGCAGCAGCAGTAGTAGTAGGAGTAGTAGTAGTAGTAGTAGTAGTAGTAGTAGGAGTAGTTGTAGTAGGAGTAGTAGGAGTAGTAGTAGTAGTAGTAGTAGTAGTAGTAGTAGTAGTAGTAGTAGTAGTAGCAGTAGGAGGAGTAGGAGTAGGAGGAGTAGGGAGAATAGGAGGAGCAGGAGGAGTAGGAGGAGTAGGAGTAGGAGGAGTAGGAGTAGGGTATAGGAGTGTAGGAGAGTAGGAGAGTAGGAGAGTAGGAGAGCAGGAGAGTAGGAGAGTAGCAGAATAGGAGTGTAACGAGTGTAGGAGTGCAGGAGCGTCGGTGTGTAGGAGTGTAGAAGTACTCCACACCGCCCCTTTTTCAGCCTCCTTGGCCAAGTCAAAATGCATGACGAGGCGGCCTGACCCCATGGGCTTTGCAATTCTCGGAAACTTGTCCTCCTTCAAGCACGCAATAGCGTCCCCGTCATACGCAGCAAAAGCCAGAAGTGTCTCAACCTCAAGTGCCGCTTCGGTGACCATGTCGCACCGGTTGCGCTCTAGTAAGCCTAGCCTCTAAACTGCTAAACGCAAAACAACCTTTTAGGGCCCCAAAAAGGCACATAAGCAAAAATTCGGATAGGGATATCCCATATAAATCCCCTTATAATGAAGCCCAATAAGGATAGGGATATCCCCATACAATGCTTATGCTTATGTGCTTTTGGGGTCCCTAACCTTTTGCAGCTCCTAGAAAGCCAACGACCGTGCATCCCTCTCTCGAAGCCTTCGACCCCAAGCCCTGGCCGCGCAACCCTACCCCCTGATCCCTAAACCCTATAGCACTAACATCACGAATCCCAAAACCCTACCAAACCTCTGAGGCTTAAACCCTGAGACGCAAGCCCTGCCAAAAATTCAAAAACCATCTAGCATTTTTCAAGAGCTCCCTTGGAACCTTATGACATTAGAAACCCCCAAAAGCCGAACCCCTAATTACGGCCCCAAGCCCTGCCCTAAACAGCCTAAACGTAAACCCGTAAAGAACTTGAACAACCTTTGTCGCACCCTTATGAAGCACAACAGCCCTTAACCCCTAACCCTAAATGCTTCAACCCTACCCTAACCACTTAACCCTACGCCCTAAGCTCTGATTGATATTGGGGCATACTAAAATATCTATTCTGATTACAGCATAGTATACCCCCCCAAATACCCTATTCTAGTTCTTAAGGCGCCTAATATCATAGTAGTAGCCCTTATGGGGCTACCCTTGTAGTGGCCCTTATAGTGGCCCTTATAGACCCTAAACCCTAAACCCTAAACGCCCTTAAAGGAACTAAAGTAAGCCTTAAACTCCAGGCTCGCGCCTCCAAGACCTCAGAGGCCTGGATCTCCTTCAAGGGCTTTCTTAAGGGTTTAGGGTTTTGGGTTTTGGGGTTTGGGGTTTAGGGTTTAGGGTTAAGGGTTTTGGGGTTTAGGGTTTAGGGTTAAGGGTTTAGGGTTTTGGGGTTTAGGGTTAAGGGTTTAGGGTTTTGGGGTTTAGGGTTTAGGGTTTAGGGTTCCATGGAGCCTAGGGGTTCTACAAGGGTTCCTTAAAGGGCATCTATAAGGGTGCCTTAAAGGGATCTCCTTCAAGGGGTTTCTTAAGGGTTTAGGGGTCCTTTAAGGGTTACTTGAAGGGATCTATAAGGGGTGGAAAGGACACTTTATTTGGGGGTTCTTAAGAGTTTAGGGATCCTTTAAGGGTTACTGAAAGGGATCTATAAGGGGTGTTAGGAGTACTTTATTTGGGGGTCTTTTTTTTAAGGGTCCCCTGGATCTCCTCCAGCGGTTTCTTATGGGTTCTATGGCGCTTAGGGTTCCTTTACAGAGATCCAATCTACGGGCCTTAATGATAAGAAGAGGGTTCCTTTAAAGGGGTCTATAAGGGCTACTACAAGGTTTAGGGTTTAGGGCCAGGGTGTAAGGCTTACGGGGGCTTAAAGCCTCGGGGGTTTTGGTTGGGGTTTAGGGCGGTTCGCCTTGCCATTCTTTCCCCAAATGTGCCGGCCTTGCCGACCCCTCCCCTTCGCCCTTGAACCTTACTTACAAATCCCCAAACGAAAATGCTGAACGCCCTACTTCAAGCATAGGACCGGAAGCTCGACGAAAGGGCCTGCGGGGGGTTGGGTTCAGGGTCTAAGGTTTAGGGTTTGGGTTTAACTCGCAGTCGCTCCTTCTTGTGCGTGCGGCGTAGTCCTTGGCAGATCTTTGGGGGGCTCTACCACAGCACCTTCCCGGTCAGTTTTGGGTTTTTGGTTTAGGGTCGAAGGTATAGGGTGTAAGGTCTAACCTGACACCGAAACCTTTCCCAAACCTTAAAGCCTGCACCTTACACCCTAAACCTTTTACCCTAAAACCCCAAACAAGGAATTGCTGACGATCGGCCCTGGGCCCACAACGGCCATTCATCCGCTAGGGGTTTCGGGCTCTTAGGGTTTTAGGGCTTTGGTTTTTTTGGAGGTTCTGGGGTTTAGGATTTGAGGCTTAGGATTTTAGGGTTTTGGGGTTTGGGGTTTAGGGCTTACGGTTTAGAGTTTAGGATTCGGGGCCTGGGGCTTAGGGCTAGGGGTTTTCGGACTAGGCGCTCAGAAAAGTCTGAGGCCTTGAGGCTGTTTTCCCTTTCTTACTTCCCCAATAGGCCACAGAAATGAAAGGTTAAAACTTTCCGACTACTACTATAAACTACAAGAGCCCGAAAAGTTGAAAGGTTGGGTATTGGGCAACTAGGCCTTTTCTGGATTGCAGGTTTAAGGCTTGGGCTTGGTTTTGGACTTCATGACCTGAGTTCAGTTCCATCTTCTTGCAAAAGGAAACCCGAAGCTCGTCTACCTGGTGGCGGAGTGGGGTCTTAGTTGCTGAGTTCATAAGGCCAAAAAATGCACACTTTCAGTTTTGAAGAGAGTGGTACTATCACCAAAAGTCTAAAGTGTACTCACTCAGGTAATATAGGGGCCTTAATACTTAGAATAGGGTTATATTACAAACAATAAGGAACCCTACCATAATATTGGTAATTATTTCGGCCCCTTCAGTACTGAGCAGTGTGTGTTAGAAGCTGCCCCGCCCTGTAATAGTGACTATAAGGATTATATTAGGGCCCTATTATATTCCCATTATACCACTATTACCGGGAGGGGGCCCCGTCTCAAGTGTGTGCGCGTGCGTGCGGAAGTGAGAGAGCCTGCCAAGTCCTCAGCCTCTGACAGACCAACGCTCCACAACTCAAAGGGGACAAGGAGGGACCCTTAGGCTCTTAGGGTTCCTTTAAAGGGAACTATAAGGGTCCCTTTAAAGGGATCTATAGGGTTTAGGGTTTAGATTAATCAAAGGGGAAAAGGAAGGACCCTTAAAGGGGACCCCTACCCTATAATGGGCTCTATAATGGGTATATAATAGCTCTACTAAGGGTATATCTAGGGGTCCTTGTTAAGGGCTCCCCAAGGCTCCATGTACCTTTATAGTAGATACTTAAGCCTTAAAGGGGTCCCTATATGGGTACTTTAAGGCCTAAGTATATACTTATATGGGTACATGGAGCCTTAGGGTCCACACCCCTCGTACAGGGCTCAGGAAAGTGTGAAGTTCGGGTACAAGTTTTGGGGAGCATCCTGCTTCTAATTATTCCGACCCGTATACGGGTGGTTGTCAAAATTATGGCCCCTTTTTGGGTACCCTAAAGAATAAGTGCCGTACTATAATAAGGACCGAAAAGGGGACCATGATTTTGACAACCACCCATATGACAGTAGCAACTTGTCATTGCTCCTGAACCGGGTTCAAGCCACCCTAAACCTCTAGACCCGGAAACCCCAAACTTTGCCAGGACACGCATTGCCGAACTGGAGTTCATGATGCCGCCAGCATTTGTGTGTACAGACTTGGGCACTGACCTCGCGACATGGCGAATATCGCAGTTTGAGCAAGTAGAACCTTAACCTACCAATACCTACTTGCTCGTGGGTTCTAGCCATAAACCCGAATATGGAATTTATGGGGACCCTTTTTGTTTTGCTGCGCTGTGTGTCTACGGCCGCGACCTGTCGACGATGCTAAGGTAAAGTCCCATTCGGCGAATGAACGAAAAGGACAATCATTGATAGCGCGGAAGATTACGGAACTACGCAAGGTCCGGCACCCACTTTGTGCTCAGCTTGGAGCCATCAGGAGTAAATTGGTTGCAGAACAAGCCGGCTTGTAGAAAGACTAAAAGCTGATGCTGAATGTTCTTGCAGAGCGCAGATCCGTAAAATCCGCTGAGGTTTTCGTGCCAAAAGATGCTACTCTTCGAATATGTGATGCTGGAATCCGAATGGGTTGGGTACATCAGCACTCTTGTGGCTTTTTTTGCACGAGTTCTCAGAAAGATAGTCTTTTAGGGGTTCCAGGTAGACCCCTAAACCCTAAACCCCTAAACCCCGAAACCCCTAAACCCCCAAGCCCCCAAACCCCTAATCCCGCACACCCCTACACCCCTAAGCCCCTAAACCCCTCAACCCCAAACCTTGAACCCCGAAACCCTAAACCCCTAAGAAAACACTTACAGATCCCTTTCAAGGAACCCTTATAGATCCCCTAAACCCTACATCCTTAAATCCCCACAGAAGGTCTCGGATGAAAGCCAAAGCCAGGTCGAGGCGCGAGGAGTCCTGGGAAGAGCTCTTGGGGAGACCTCAGCAGGGCTTAGGGGATTTAGGGGCTCCTTTAAAGGAATCTACATTAGGGTCTAAGTCTAGGGGTTCCTTTTTAGGAATTTATGAGGGTTCCTTTAAAGGGGTCTACAAAATACTATAAAATATAAGGGTTCCATACGATTCCTTTAAAGGGATCTATAAAGGGCTCCTTTAAAGGGATCCATAGGGGCTCCCTTTCATAATGGTTTATAAGAGGGTTTAGGGGTCTCCGGGTTCCGGGTTTGAGGTATACCTGGCCTAAGCCCTAAATCCCTGAAACCTCAACCCTAAACCCTCAAAACCCCCAAACCCTAAACCCTGAACCCTAAACCCTAAACCCTAAACCCAAACCCCCAAACCCCCAAACCCGAAGCAATATCCAAGCAGCGTGGTGAAAGCATCAGCGAGGAGTTGCCTCTCGGCATTTCCAGGCTGTTTACTGGCGCCGCGTACGGGAGATCCTGTCGGTTTAGGCTTTGCTTAAAGGATCATGGGACTTAGTAACTAGGGTTATAATTAAGGTAACTATACTTATAAGTACATATAACCCCAATTAAGGGACTGATAACCATAGTTACTAAGTCCCACGATCCTCCAAGTGGGCTTCAGTGTTTAGTCCTGAGGCTCCATAGTAGTTCCTTTCTGGGAGTACCTTAAAGGAGTCTAAATATGAGCCCCAAAAAGGAACTACTATGGAGCCTATGGGTACTTGGAGGGGCAGGGGACATAGCAAGTAGGAAGTAGAGTTATAAGTGCCCTAAATGGAGTTACCCCAACTATAACCCTGCTTAAAAACTAAAAACCCAAGGCTCTAGGCAAAATTCGAGGGTTTTAGGTTGCTAGAAAAGCCAATCTTTCTTCAAGGCTGTAACAAAAAAATGAGGTGTACCCACATAGTAGGCTCGCTTCTCTACCTCAACTTAAACCCTACACCCTGAATTCTAAGCCCTAAACCCTGAAGTGTCCTTGTATAGCTCCCACTTGCGAACCTTAAGAGGTTTCAGGCTTCCCTGAAACTGAAGCCCGAAACCCTGAACCTGAAGCCCTGAACCCCGAAACTGAAGCCCTGAAGCCCTGAACCATGAATCTGCAACTCTACTTGGAGGGCCGGGGACTTAGTAAGTAGGTTATAAGTAGAGTAAGAAAGTACCCTAAGTGGAGTTACCCCAATTATAACCCTACTTATAACCTACTTACTAAGTCCCCGGCCCCTCCAAGTAAACCCTAAAACCCAAGCCCTAAACCCTCCTAAACCGGCCGTCCACCAACTCCAAGTCACCCTGTCACCTGAACCCTTCCCTCTTCGAGGGTTCAGGGCTTAGGGTTTAGGGTTTAGTGAGGGTTTACCTGGACCCCCAAAAACCAACCCTTCTTGAGGATTTGTATAAAGAAACCATAGTAAGGAACCCTAAACAGGTAGGGAATCAGCAGGGGGATCGACAGATAGATAGGGAAAGGGACCGATAGATCACTCAGAAGCACTTCGACTGCTTGTAAGTTCCTGCTGCGTATCGCCTGACCTCCAAACTTCAATCGAATGCACTGAAGAGAATCCAGTCTTGCAGCATCCCCGACTATCCGTTCTGGTTTAAGCTTCGGGTTAAGTTCAAACCAAAGATATTCAAACCCCCAAGCCCTAAAACCGGAGCCCCAAACCCGAAACCCTGAACTGCTTCTCCCCTCCTCCATGCGCTCGCGCGCGACGACAGGCGCAAGCGGCGTGGTGGCCTTTGTCTGCGTGGGCGAGCAAATGATCGAACACAGATGAGAACAAGAAGTTTAGGGTTTATAGGGTTTGGGATAAATATTTCAGGCCATGGGCGACTGCCTTTTGCCAAGCAGTGGCAATCTCACGGCATTGCCGGGGGGATTTGGTGAGCCATGCGCGGTCAGCAAGGAAGGCACAGTGGAGCGCCTGTCCCTGAGGGTGTTGCTGCTTGATGCGCGTGGGGGCGTCAGCAATGACCGCGTTGAGCACCAAAAGCGATGCAGGGTCCCCCTGCATTACACTAGGGGCTTAAATAATTACCGATACTATATTGGGGGCTCCTTACTATAACTATAGTATAAAGGGCCCCAAAACCCTAATTACTCTAATTCTGAAGGCCCCTCTATTAGACAACGCTCTTCGGCCGGAGGAGTGGCAGAGATCGTCCTGCCAAGTTGAAGCCATCGAGTTTATGACGAGTTCGACGACGCAAGGCGCTGGATGAAACTCTATACTGAACTTAGAGCCCTCGCAAAACTTATGGTTTTAGCTATTTCTTAGGGATTATAATCACCGAAAATTAAAAATTAACTGTTGTGAACTGACGAAGCTGCACAACTGCCCTCAGCACCACAAAAGCCCCTAGTCACCCTACCAAACTACACAGATACCGCCTGCAGCGCCCGGTAACTACCCGGCAACTACCCGAACAACAAACAGCATGAGGGAAATTGTATGGAATGAACGGAATGCTGCAAATACTTCCAAGCCACCTGAAGCTGTCAGAGTAATTATCATAGCTAGCACTTATATACAAAGACACCCTCGTTCATTGCTAGACACTGCCTGCAAAAACCAGGGACTTGAAAAGAAGACACCGAAACCTAAGCCTAAGCCCTGCACCTGAATACCAAAGCGGTAGGATCCGGCCAGTTACTTGCGTCTCGTTCGAGGGGCCTGAAAACGCCATCCAAGCAACTGAAAAGCTTTGAGCAGTTTAGGATTTAGAGTTTACCTTAACCTAACAAAACCCTACTTTTTTGTAGGTTGTCATTATAGACCCTAATATGGAATTTATACGGATCCTACTTTTCGTAGGCTTTGGTAGGTTAAGGTAGGGCCTAAGCTGAAAGCCCAATGCAACAAACCCTAAACTCAAACCCGATAGGAACAGCCCCCTGAACACACTGGAAATTACTCTGTGGCGCCTCCATGTGGGAGCAGAGCCTCGCCTCTAGCTCTGCCATCTCAGTCAGGTGCTGCAGATAGAGCCTCTACTGCATAGGTTTAGGATTTAGGGTTGTAGGGGCTGAAAACGGGCATGGTAGAGACGTAAGAGTGGGTTAAGAAGGGCTTACTACTAGGTGTCGATTTCAACAGCCCGCAAATTATTCATCATTGGGTCTCTGGATTCATTCCAAAGGAAAGTGATCATTATCCGAAACCGATATCTAGTTAAGAACGGATTATGAAGGGCATAAGGTGTGCTTAAGAAGAGGGTTGGGTGTACGTTTAGTAATTTAGGGCTCAGGGGTTTAGGGTTCAGCGCGTATAGTTTCGGATTATATTCAGGGTTCCTTGTGGCTTCCATAATCCATAAGGCTATAAGGGTTCTGAACAGGGCTCCAGCTACAGTTTTGCGAAGGGTGTAGTTGAAGCATATTTTGGGAGGACTGAACCGGGGTATACGAGGCGCACAAGGCTTCTGAGGGAGCTCTAGGATCTTCTGAATACCAGGGTACTCCTCGTGCAGCACGTACTCTTCATCAAGCCCCAATGGCCCGTATGCTTGGGAGTTTAGTACTGAGGGTTTACGCAACAACGTCTCAAGGGAGGAGCAGCACCCAGATGCAGAAAGAATCCAGTCAATACCCGAAACGAAGAAGCTATGGAGGATACCAACATCAGTATATAACCCTTCTAGAAACCCTTTGAAAGAGCCCTTATGCAAACACCCGTCTAACTAAGAGCACGAACCAATAAGCTGCAGCTATGATCCCCACCGCCGCAACAAAATTAAAGCAGGCTGAATCGAAAAGGCTAAACCCTAAACCCTAAACCCGCTTTGCGCATGTTTGTAGCCGACCCTCAACCTCACCCCCTAAATTTTTCATCCAACAATCCTGCACCCGTTTCGAAAAGCGTGTCAGACGAACGCCAAGAAGCGGCGGTGCCCCAATTACAGTACCCGGACAGAGCTTCGTAACCCTCATATAGTCCCCATATCATCAGCCCTTGCAGCACCCTTATAGCATCCTATACCGCCGGCGACGCACTGCAACAGCCACTGCAGAACCCACAGCTGCTTACATCCCAAGCCCTTTGCGCCGCCTGGGAACTCGTCAAACCCTAAGCTAAGCCCTCGACCACAAGCCATAAACAACCTGGAAAAAAAACAAACCCGCAACCCCAAACCCCGAACCCCAAGCCCCAAACCTTCACCTCTGAACCCCGAACTCACGAAAAAGTTAAAGAGCTAAACCAATCGAGCTCCTATACCCCCCGATTTTCAGAAACACTTACGTATAGAGTCCTTCAAAAGCGGATGCATAGAAAGTTGAAAAAAAGAGCCGTAAATCCAAATCCCAGGCGCCCATCCAAGAGCCCACGAAAATGGTCGGAGACGGCAGACCTGGGACATGGCTCTGTCTTATACTCTAAAGGGAACTCCAGAAAGTTGGAATATGGTTTCATGGTAGGATACCCTATAATTTACCATAGAAGGGTTAGGATAATCATACACCAACTTTCTGGCTTATACCCTAATGAGGGAATACCTCGGGTTCCTTCAAAGGGAGATCATTAAGGGTTTAGGGGATTCGAGTATCTCTTAGCCTTAAGTTACAACAGGGACCCCAGTGATACTTAAGGTATATTCCTTAACTACGGGGTTTTGGAGTTTCTGGGTTCTTGGAGGTGGGAGAGAGTTTAGGGAATAGAGGTTTAGGGTTTAGTAAACTTAGGGTGCAGAATTTAGGGTTCAGGGTTTAGGATTTAAGCCCGGTTTAGGGCCCGACAAACCTAGAAAAGCTCTCTCCTGTTCTTGGAAGTGGTGGAGAGTTCAAGGAATAAAGTCTGTAAACCCTCTTCAAGCAAGCCCTAAACCCTAGCTTCCCTAGCTTCGGGTTTCAAGGTTTAGGGCCCGAAAAATCTACAACAGCGATGTAGAACCCCTGAGAGACTCCTGAAAGACATGTAAATCGAACTTAAAGACCCTTCACAGAAAAGAACCCTAACTCTCAACCCCAAACCCAAAGCCCTACACCCCAAACGCTAAATCCCAAGCCCTATAAACCCTAAACCCATAAACCCTAAACCCCTAAACCCCATTATAGATCCCCTAAAGGAACGCTTATAGAAACCCTAAACCCCGAATGAAGGAACCCTAGAGGCTCCATATATAGTACCATTATGGAATTAGGTCCCAAAAGCCATGATATGGATGGTCTTTTGGGACCTAATTCCATAATGGTACTATATATGGAGCCTCTGGGAACCCTGCTGATTCTCACCCAGCGACGTCTCCCTCTCCCGACCATTCAATTGAACGTGCACCTGGCCGTCTGAGGGTTCAGGGTTTTAGGGGTTCAGGGGTTTAGGGGTGTGGGGGTTTAGAGATTTGGGGGTTTAACTGTAAAGTGGTTTCGGGGTTTAGGGGTTTATAGGGGTTTGGGGGTTTAAACATTTAGGGTCTATGGGGCTTGGGGTTCAGGGTTCAGGGACTTCTCGCTCTTATAAACTTCAACACCGCTCTTAGGGTTGAGGGTTTATTTAGGGCTTGCGGATTCCGTACGAGACTTGGGTCGAGTCTAGCGGTTGAGCTTTGCACCGCGACGCGCACTTCTCCCAGAGCGGCCTAAACCCTACCGTGAACCGAAGCTTAGACCATAAACCCTGACAAGACCCCACCAAACGAAAGCCCCAACTACTGCTGATGGACAAAATCCTGCATTACCTTAAGGACCCGACGCTATGGGAACTATGGTATATTCCTTATATTGGGAAATATGCCATAATTCCCATAGTTTAGAGTCCTAAGGGTCATGCAGGAATTTGTCCATCAACCGTAGTGCGGCCAGGTTCGCCTCCGGCACTGCAGGACACTCCTCCTGAATGGGGTCGATGTCACCTACGCCAAGCCGACGTGCCTTAAGAATTAGGCTGCAACTTTGTGCTGCATTCCTGTATAGCTATACTATGCAGGAAAATGGGTGAATAATACTACTAGTGATCTAGGCTTGCACTTATGACGTGCTTCTTAAGGTTCGAGACTGTTTGTAGTAAGGATCCTACTTTTTATTGAATGTCCACTGTGGGCTCCTTCCTTTTCTGGTACTCCAGCGCAGCTAAAGCTGGTAAGTCCCAGTAGCACTCCTTCTTAGAAAAACATATTGGTGATTGTCAAAATTATGGTCCCTTTTTGGGTACCCTAAATATAAGGCGCCGTATCATAATAGGGACCCAAAAAGGGACCCTAATTTTGACAACCACCCATATGGCAGGAACACTTAAGCCCTAAACCTTCAACCCTCAAGCAAACCGAAACCCGGAACCCCCAATCCGAAACATCAAACCCTAAACCCCTCAACGAGCCCTTGAAGAAACCCCTACAGGCCCCTTAAAGCCTTAAAGAAACTCCTATAGATCCCTTAAAGGAAGGCTGGAACCTGCTCTGACCTTGGAGGCTCCCATTGACGAGCCCCAACCACCCGAAGAAACCTCCTAGTTGGTGTACTTGGAGGTTCATGGGTTCCTACGGTTGATGATATAAATCCTGCATGACCTTAAGGACCCGAAACTATGGGAACTATGGTATATTCCTTATTATGGGTAATGCAGGATTTATATCATCAACCGTATAAGTGGGCTGATAAGGCTCGTTCAAGGGATCTATGAGTGATTTTAAAAGGGCTCTCTAAGGGGAGGTGCATGGATACTTATAAGTAGGGCCCATAAGGGTCCCTATATACAGCCCCTTAAAAAGAAGCCCTGAGCAAAGAGACAACCGACCTATATAAAGTAGGGCTGATAAGGTTCCTTTAAGGGATCTATAAGGGGCCTATAAGGGTTCTAAAAGGGCTTTTTAAGGGAGGTTCGTGGGTACTTATAAGTCGGGCTTATAAGGCTCCTGGAAGGGATCTATATGGGGCTATACAAGGGTTCCCAAAGGGCTCTACTTGAAGGTTCATGGGAAGTTGGAAGCAGGGTCTATAGGGTTTCTTCGAGGGATCGATAAGGGCTCTATAATGGGAGGTTCATGGGTACTGATAAGTGGGGCTCATAAGTACGATAGTTGTAGCCTGCATCCTATAATTAGTCAGGTATCAAGGTCCGGGAAGGTCTCTACGATGCCAGGGGCTTAGGGGTCTTAGGGCTTCGAAGTTTTGAGGTTATAGGGCTCTCTGTGGGGTTCAGGGTCCCTAGCTGAGGGGTCGAGGGTGCAAAACGGCGGCCTTACTGATTTGAATAGGGTGCATTTAAGGGTTCTGTCTAATTAAAGGGTTTCCAGGAATTCTCTATGAAATACAGCTTGTATGAGGGGTTTTTATCGGGGCCTTAATCAGTAGAACAGGGTTTTGCGGCCCATTCTACCATAACTACGGTAGAAACCCTGGGGAGGTCGTAGGTAGTAGTGGTAAGCTCCGACTTGACATCTGATGCAGACCCATGATGAAAAAGCCGGCTTAGGCTTTAGGACGGCTGTAGACTTGCACAAGACCAAGTCACCAACAGAGGGCGGCTGTCGTTGCGCTGTCTGCTGCAAGTTCCTTACTTGGAGGGGCAGGGGGACTTAGAAAGTAGGTTATAAGTAGGATTATAACTGGGGTAAGCCCATTTAGGATACTTATAACTCTACTTATAACCTACTTACTACGGCTGATGATAAATATCCTGCATTACCTTAAGGACCCTAGATTATGGGAATTATGGTATATTCCTTATATTGGGTCATGCAGGATTTGGTCCATCCACAGTAAGTCCCCTGCCCCTCCAAGTAAGACCCTGAACCCTAAACCCCTTACCTATAGATCCCCTGGAACCCTTAAGGATCCCTTATAGATCCCTTTAAAGGAAGCCTAAACCCTACTTACTAAGTCCCCTGCCCTCCAAGTAGCTCTGTCTAAAGGCCCTCTACCAGGGCGGCGGGCTTCCTGAGCTCTGTCTTACACTAGGGACCCGAAAAGGACATAAGCAGAAGCATTGTATAGGGATATCCTTACCTTTCTGGGCTTCCTTATCAGGGGGTTTATATGGGATATCCTGGGATATCCCCATCCATAATTTTGCTTATGTAATTTTTTGGGTCCCGATTGAAAGTCCTCTGACCAGGGTTTGGGGTTTAGGCCCTTAGGCTTTGGATTTAGGGTTTAGGAGGGTGCATCTCGTAAGCCCGAAATCCGAAACAATACATAAACCCAGGTTGATTACTGTGATAAACAAGAACGCTTGCAGCACGTGCGCATATGCTTAAGTGCATAAGTTTCATCGGTTCGCGCTGCGTGGTTTTAATACCAGCGCTGCCGACTAAACCATAACCCTAAACCCTTAGCTGTATAAAACCCTAAACCCTAAACCCTAAACCCACTGAACCCCGAAACTCTCAAGCCCTGAACCCGAAGCCCCAACTACCTACTGTTGATGATATAAATCCTGCATTACCTTCAGGACCCTAAACGATGGCAATTATGGTATATTCTTTATGATGGGTAGTGCAGGATTTTTATGATCAACCGGAGGAATCCTCAAACCTCGAAGCCCGAAAGCCCTAAACTCCCACTTCAGGGTCTGGAGCTCTAAGCCCGAAGCAACCAGAAACAACTTAGGGTTTAGGCTTTAGGGTTTAGGGTTCGAAGCAACCAGAAAGAACAGAACCCAAGAATCCCAACACCATAAATTTGGCGGCGTACCAGTCTCTAAGTTTAACACTCTATATAGACCCCTTATCCCTGAGACCCTGAAGGCCGGCAATCCGAAATCCGTGCAATGTAGACGGTTTAGGGTTTAGGGTTTAGGGTAGAAACTACCTATTACAATAGAGCTGCGTGACAGATTTTTCCACTTTACGCATATCAGGATTCCAAGGGAATACTACCTAGCGGCAGGGGACATCACTTCATCGGAAGCAGGGAACAGTGCTTTAGGGCTCAGGGTTGCCGTTTCAGGATTAGCCTTAGGGTCTTGCTATCCTTTGCAATGTTTATACATGCTACAGATTCTGATGGGTCACTGCGTAGCGAGGCAAACCCACGAGTCAAACTGAAAACCTTGATCAAGAACATTACTGCAAACCCTCAACAGAGGTGTAGGGCTTGTAGAGCCTATTGTCTAGAGTTCATAAACCGTTAACCTAAATAGCCCGCCGAAGTGTTGTCTCGACGCTTATCATTGGTTCTACTCGGGTTGTTTGTGTCTACACCTGGGATTTGGAGCTGCCCGTGGAGGATTTGGAGACCTACGGCTGATGATAAAAATCCTGCATTACCTCAAGGACCCTAGACTATGGGAATTATTGTATATTCCTTATTATGGGCAATGCAGGATTTATATCATCAGCCGTAGTACGTAAGGTAGCATGCAACACTTAGTATATGTTAACTACACAATGTATATCACACAGTATATAGTAGATTCGAGTATACGGACGACCCCCAATCAGGGTACTTAGGACCCCTTGCGAAGTCGATGCCCCAAGACCCACGAACCTTTCAGTGGGGAGCCCCTAAACCTCAAAAACCTTGAATCCCACACCCCACAACGCCAAAGTCTTAACGTCATATGGCACGAACACTTTGTAAGTGCCGTTAGAAAGCCCTGATAAACCTTGAAAAACACATCCCCCCAAACCGCGGCTTTTAGGTGGGCACTGAAGTCGCGAGTCGAAGCTTAGGTTGCAGTTCTTAGGGTTCATGGTTCAGGGTGTAGGGGTGTAGAGAGAGAAGGGTAGGAGTATGCACTAGCCGTCACTGGTCCTCCGTAGTCTGGGGCCCGAAAGCTTCGAAGAGGGTTTTATAAGGGCTTCAGGAGGGCTCAAAATGGGAGCTTCCGAAAATTAGGGCTACCTTATTTGGGGCCCTTATAGTACGGATCCTACTATTTAGGCTATTATATCGGGGTCCCCCATTTTCGGGAACCCCCATACAGTGACCTTTGTAGTTAGAGTAGCCCTAAACCCTGAAACCCTAAAACCCTACACCCTAAAACCCTACACCTTAAAACCCTAAACCCTAGAACCTAAAGCCGTAAAACCCTAAAACCCTAAACCCTGAAACCCTAAACCCTTAACCCCAAAACCCTAAACCCCAAAACCTTAAACCCAAAGCCCTGAACCCCTGAAAGAAGGCCCGAGTCTCGCAAACTGCTTGTCGGCACCGGCCATCATGGGATGTTCCGGCGTGGGCATTTTCTGAGTTGTTTGGTGTTCTTGCAAGCCGTTGAGGGCTTTGCCCATAGGCTCTATAGTAATTCCGTTTTGAGGGCTTAGGGTTTAGAGATAAGGGCCGAAAGCTCCTCATGCTACATCGAATCTACATGTTCTGTTACTAACGGCAGGTTCTTCCAGGCAGCCCGAAGTGGGCTTGCTGACCCATGCAGTCCTGATATGTCCTAATCCCCGACGAAACCGTTTGTGGTCTAGGTTCTAAGAGCGTTCCTTCCGCTCAGGCTGCTCATTAAGTCAACATGCTGTTAAAATGCCAGGTGCTGATGAGCACAATGGCTGCAGAAGGATATCCCGCCAACATGGATCATCTTGTCCATGCCTCAGGACAGGAGCTGGAGTTTAAAGCAGCCTGAAAAAAAAACTCAAGACTGGATAGCCCCAGAACCCTAGACCGAAGATTCCAAGGCCCGAAAGTCGTAAAGGCTCTGCAGACCCTTAGGGTTTAGGGTTTAGGGTTTAGGGTTTAGGGACCCCTTCCCCAAATTATAGTAGGGAACGCTACGGCCTGTTCCTTCGTTCTGCCGTGCTGGAGTCTACTAAAGGGGGTATCCAAACTCGACGGCATGGAAGATTTGGTGCTGGGGTTTAAGAGTCTCAAGAGAAAGTGTTTGGATGTCGATTTCCCGGCTTTGGATCAGAAGACGCTGTAGGGTTTACCTTATAAAACCCCAAATAACCTACCTGTGTTCAGGAACCGTATAAGGAAATCATAATCAGGAGCCCTAAAATGTAGGTTTCTTAGGGTCCAGGTATGCATTATACTACCGTAGACCCCAAACGCCTCAACCCTAAACACCACGACCCGAAGGCCATCAGTCATACACCCCAAAACCCCTGAACCCTAAACCCTACACCCCTAAACCCGAAAACCTAAACCCTACACCGCTGTTCTGAGAACCTCGGGAGCTGCGGGCTGAAATTACGGAATTTAGGTTGAAAACCATTTGGGCTTGAAGAGCCGCCCTCGTGCAACCTAGGCCTCAGGTTTGGGTTTAGAGTTTGGGATTTGGGGTTCAGGGTTTTAGGTTTGGGATTTAGGATTTAGGGCTTAGGGCTCGGAAGGGTTGAGGGTTCATGGTTTGTGGTTTAGGGTACCTAGAACCTGTGGAACGGCTGATGGACTGCATCTTGCAATACCCAAGAAAGTACTTTCCACTGCTTTGAGCGAGTACTTAAGCTTTTGCAAATCAGCCGACGTGCCTCAAGCGACCGAGCCCTTCACATAAAGGGAACTCCAGAAAGTTGGAATATGGTTTCAGGGTAGGATACCTAATAATTTACCATAAAGGGTGTAGGATAATCATATTCCAACTTTCTGGCTTTTACTTTAAAGGATTCTATCAAGGCTTCGTGCAACCTAGAAGCAATTGACAGCACGCTTCGACAGCCTTTCTGACACCTGAAGAATCCGCTGTATTCCCAAGTTACATTCAGACAGTCTTCCGAAACTTTACGGTCCACTTTGAGAAACCCGTACATGTACCCACAAACAAACCAAAACCAAAATCCTGGGTCGGAATCCTGAGCATAGCCCCTTGTATATACTATAGTAAACCCCATACATTACACCGCTTACTTCGAAAAGCCCTTAACCCTGAACCGCTATAGCACCGTTGCAGGCACCGTGGAACCATTGAGGATCAACGGAACCCTTCCAAGAATCCCTCTCGCAAGGAACCCTACACCCTAAAGCCCTACACCTTCTATGGAACCTTTAAAGGAACCCCAAACCCCTAAACCAATCCAAAATCCCAAAATGAAAACCCTAGGCCCTTATGGCAGCCCTCAACCCTAAACCCCTTATAGGAACCCTTAACCCTGAACCCTCCACCCCTTTATGCAGCCCTTAAAGCTTAGCGGAACCCGGTGCCTGCCAGGAGCTAGACCTTCCGAAACCCTAAACCATGTTATTGAAGGAACCCTGAACCCTGAACAATCAAAGCAACTCGAAGCTAAATTCTAAACCCTCAAATAAAGGAACCTTAAACCCTAAACCATCAAACTCGAAGCTAAGCCCTCAACCCTCAAAGGAACCTAAACCCTTAAAGGAACTCTAAACCCTCAAGCCTTAAAGGAACCCTCAACCCTTAAAGGAGCCCAAAGCCCCGAACCCAGAGCCTGCCAGGAGTAGCCCTTCGAGACCAGGAAGGCCAAGTACCCCCGAAATTCCGCTCGCCGGGCCGCCGGGACCTCTTGGGAAAGAGCTCCTTTTAGGGTTTAGGGTTTAGGGTTTTGGGTTTTGTAGGGTTTAGGGTTTAGGGTTTTGTAGGGTTTAGGGTTTTGTATTTTGTAGGGTTTAAGGCTTTAAGGATTCGCTTTAAGGGCTCCTTTGAAGGGTTCCTGTCTAGGGTTCCTGTCCAAGGTTCCGTTTATGAGTTCCTTTAAGGGCTCCCTTTTAAAGGGGCTCGCTTTCAGGGATCTTGGAAGACTCCTTCAAGGGATCCTTCAAAGGGCTCCCACAAGAAAGGCAGAACAGGTTGGGTTCCTTGAAGGAGCTCTTAAAGGAAGCCTTTATAAGTGCCGTTGAAAGGAGCCCTTAAAGCAACCCTAAAACCCCATGTGTGCTTGTGTATTCTAGGAGCCCGAAAAGGAACCCTTTAAGGAACCTAACCCGTAAGGGATCCTTTAAGGCTCGCATGGGGGCTCCGTCAAAGGCTCCTGTGAGGATGATGGAGTTTCGGGTTGAAGGAGTTTAGGTTTCGGGTTCAAAATTTAAGGCTTAGGAGTGTAGGGTTTCGGAGTTTAGGCTTGAGGGGAAAAGGGCTTGGGTTTTAGGAGTTCAGGGGTGATTGTATTTCTGCGTGCTTTGGTGTTAAGCCGCTCGATGCCCCTCTCCGTTCCAGAATGTTGCTATTTCAGGTCTACACTGGGGTTGCGTACTTAAAGGATCATGGGACTGAGTAACTAGGGTTATTATTAAGGTAACTATACTTATAATTACTTATAACCCCAATTAAGGTACTTTTATAACTTAGTAGGTCCCATGATCCTCCAAGTATCTCGGGCCTTTGGTGCTGTGCTTCTCAAACGCCATTTTCACCGGGGTTGAGGATTTGGGATTTAGGGTTGGCTTGCTTTTGAGGGCTTGGGGTGTGGCTTAGGGCTCCAGAAGCCTACTGGGAATTCTGCTTTAGAAGTTTAGGTTTGGGGTTTAAGGTTAGTGCTTGGGGTTTCAAGACTGACCTGTCTGGAGGATTCTGGAAACCCATACTTCGTGCCTTCCTCCCAGAACCAGGATACTTATATTGCCGCGGCTGACTTACTACCTGAGCTTGAGGGCTCTGCCACGTTAAGGTCCCCCTGCATCTCAGGTTTCGTGTTGACTGGGTTCTTGTTGACGGATTTAAATGAAGTTACCATTACTTACTATAGATCCCTATTATGGTAATTCATATAAATTAAACTCCTACAAGTTTTTACGATAGATCCCTATTATGGTAACTTATGTAAAACAAACTCCTGGGTGGGGGGTGAAAGCTTTGGTGCGTACACAAACGCTTTCAGCAGCTGACGTAGCCTGAGCAATAAGAGGAGGGAGGAGGGTGCAAGCAGACAAAATTCTAACTCTTAACCCCTGAACCCCTAAACCCCTGAACCCCTGAACCCCTGAACCTCTAAACCCCTGAATCCCTGAACCACGACCTCTAAACCCCCAAACCCTGAAAACCCCCCTCTTTATGATTGGGGGGTAACCTGGAGGCCGACGAGGACGCGCGCTGCGTCTGCCCCGTGGCCACGGTAGTGGAAAAGCGATACGTTGAACCCTGGCGGCTTCACGGTTTAGGGGTTTGGGGCTTTAGGGTTTAGGGGTTTGGGGGTTTGGGGGTTTAGGGGTTTAGGGGTTTAGGGTTTAGGGTTTAGGGGTTTGGGGCTTCAGGGCTTTCGGGGTTTAGGGTTTAGGGGTTTTGGGGCTTCAGGGTGTGAGGTTTGGGGACACATTGAACCCTGGCGTCGCCGTAGGCTCGTGGGCTGAGGGCTCGGGGCCTTTAGGGCATTGTGTTCAGGGTTGAAGGGGAAAGGCTTTTGGCGTTTAGTTTTTGGGGTACAATGTTTTCCGTGATTAGGGTTTAGGGACGATATCATGTAAGGTACAACACGTAAACTCCCGTGTAACGGATGTTTTTTGCACGATTTGCGGTCTCTTCCACATGAAAGAAAGAGCTTTCGAGTCTCTGGAACTCCAATAGCCTGCAGCAATCAGCCTTGCAAGCTACAGAGTGTAGCTCTGCAAACCCTAAAACCTAAACCCTACATCCACAAGAAGTAAATTCAAAGTCCGAAAAACCCTAGAGCCCCAACACCCTGAAACCCACCACACGAAAACCGAAAAACTAAAGTCGCAAACCTACAATAAAGCTACAGCCTGAAAGCTGCGAAACTCCAGAAACCCAAACCCCAAAACCCTAAATCCGAAAGCCCTGAAGCCAAAAAAAACTCGAGCCCTAACGGCATATAACATATGCGGTATACGTTATACTATAGATATGATTAGCCCTAAGCCCTAAACCGTCATCTATCTATCTGTACATGTACAAAACAATATATATATATATATATATATATCTATATATATCTATATATATCTATATATCTATATATCTATATATCTATATATCTATATATCTATATATCTATATATCTATATATCTATATATATATATATATATATATATATAAACCCCACCTGGCGGCAGATTCTCCAAGAAGTTGAGGAGAGCTCCGGGCTTTTCAGGGAACTCGAAGCGGAAGAGCCCCTCCTGTGACGCATGTTCAGAACTGGGTTGCAGGGTTTAGGGCGCAAGCTTGGGAGAGAATCCCCTCGGGTGTAGGTTTCGAGCTCCAAAATGATGTATGAAAGTTAGGTTCTGGAGTATGCTCCTTCGTGGAGACACATTGGGAATATAAAGAGACGGGATACCACTACCAACTACTCAAGCCGCTGTATTTTGCGTGGAAGCAAGCCCTGATGTAGCGAAACCGTCAAGCCTTGCCGACACACTATAGCCCTAAAACCTAGATCCTAAGAATTAAACCCGAAACCCCAAAGCCTAAACCCTGCCTCTTGCTAAACATTGAAACTCGATCTGGCAAGCACCCTAACCTGCAAACCTCGCGCAAATCTTGCACCCAGAAACCCTAAAGTGGAATAAACTTGGTGTTCAGGGTGCGGGGCTTACGGATTAGCCCGCTTATAAACCGACTGTTTGTAGAATCCTAACGACCGTGCACCCGCCTCTGAAGTCAAATGCGCCGGGGCTCGGCCACCTTCCAAGCTCTTGCTAAATCTCAGGTTTCAAAGTTGCTTATAAGGTCCTGTAAGATTTCATAAAGTGACCAAGTCGGCTGAGAAGCGTGTGAAAACCGATACTTAAGGACTTAAGGATCTTGTAAGGGTTCGAAACGGACTTGTGGGGTTCTATGGTCCTCAAAACGGGCATCCCACCATTGGTCGAGCTGTTGGTGCATTTGCTCCGTCGCCGTCCCCAACCTCTTCCGGCGGATCCAGTGGAATTTTTTCAAGCAACAAATACTGCTGCATTGCTTCCTGAAGCAGGTTGTAATTAGGACGAAGCACGTCACGCCCAGCAAGTCGCTGTGGGGCGAGAGAACCTCAGACTGCAAATCAAAATAGGCGAATACGCCGGACCACGGCAAAAGGTTAGCTTGGCAGCTTGTCCAAGGCGCATCATGGTTTTCCACCTTTGCGCCTGCATGGTTCCAAACATGAAGCAAGAGTGCAAGGCGCCACAACAAGGATTTCAACTGACCCGCTCGGTTAGGGAGTTTGGGATTCGTCAAACATGAACTTTCACGCTGCGTAAACAGCTCGAGGGCATCGGTTGCAAAGAAGTATTTAGGGGATCTACTCCCGCTGGCGACCGTAGTCGCTGGCACGGTTGCAATGAACGACATCCGAAGCTGCCAGAGTTTCAACGAACCTTGGCAACAACGGCTCAGGCAGTGACAGGATGAGCTGCAAGTCACGTTGTTTCACATCGTAGACTTCTTGCTCGAGCACAGCAGCCGCCTTATCAAGTCAGGGGCACCGTGGAACATAAGGAAGCGCGATTGCATCCCCAAAGCTTCGTCTTTTCCTAAAGCCGTGTGCCATTCTTCAACATGGAATGTCATGGCCAAACAACGACATGTCTTTGCCGTGGCGAAGCGACTCTGGTCTTTAACCACGAATCGCTTCCAGGAAGCTCGGTTGAAAAGCTTGCTCATGGTGGCCGGGTTGAAACCAAATGCTTCCCCGATGGAGAGGGCCCGCAGCAAGAAACGTCCCTCGTCATACAACCCCACAGCTCGATGACCGTTCTGGAACATCTGCATCATCACCTATCCCTGGGCACGATCCTTCGTCGCAAAAAATCTGCGGTTGGTTGCTTCGCAGGGATGTGAGCTTCTTGCCGAGGGCGAGCTTGCACCGATTCGCCGCTCGCTCTTTTAGGTCTCTTGCGTCATCGCCCGCTGCTTGCCAATCGTCATCCTCTGATTCAGCATCTGCTTGTGCTTGCCGAATGGCGTGCTCGGCTTCCTTAAAGCATTGCTTTGCAAACCCTGTGATGATCAGCTATTGCGCTGATGATGCCGCTCTTGCTGGTGCCGCTGTCGAGACATAGGCCGACACTGGGGCGTAAGTTGAAGCACCTCCTCGGATATCTTGATCGATGATGAGAACTTCTCGCGCGTAGCAGCGATTATTGGCTGATGCCGTTGGCAAGCCTGTTTGCCACCCAAGCACCATCGGTTGTTGTGGCAAGCTCTCCCGTGAGCGTGGATGTGCCGGAAACCGGTAGCATGTTGTCATCATTCTTGATGTCCATTGTTTAGGGGTCCTTGCATATTGAGGCTCCAACTATGCGGATGCATATTTTGGTCCCCTATGCTAGTGCCGCAACCGCCGAAGTGTGCACCCGGAACCAGAAAACTCTCGCCGAGACCTTGATCAGCCAATGGCTGTCTTGCTCCGGGACCGCGTTCGGACTGAAGGCCCCAAAACCAGACAGCTATAACGGCGTAGGGTTCAGGGGTTTAAGGTTTTGGCGGATAGTTCGAATGATCCTACTCTTGCGGTATAGGGGTACTTTTGGGCGCTTGGTTACTTTGGATATGAGCTCCGGAGTTGGAATAGCTCGTTTGGGTTTAGGGTTTAGGGTTTAGGGTTTCAATGATTTCGGACTCTCGCTTGCACAGTAGCAGCGCTTTCGTGAAAGTATCGCTGCAAATCAGCGCTAAAGTTCTTCAAGTTTCATATAAATGGCCGTATCCATTGGAAGGGGGAGTTAAGATATGCTACAATACAAAAGGTCGTAAACCTTAAGGAATTGTGTTAGTAAGTATGTATTCCGACCCCTAAGGGCTTAGGGTGCAGGAGCCCCACAACCATAAAAACCAGAAAGCCTGAAATCCGAAGCTCTATAAACAGCCCGTGTAGCCACGCAAGCACCCTGTTCAACCAAAACCTGACCCAAAACCTGACCCTCAACTTCGTAAGCCTAAGCCTTAAACCGCGAACCAACAACCTTAACACCTTGACATGTAAGCCCAATGCTCTGCAAAACCTAAATCTCGAAACCCTAAACACCAAGACTTTACGATCCCTAAACCCTAAAACCAAAAAAAAACTTTAAAACTATAGGATCCGTAAACCCGACGACCCCAAAACCCTGAGCCCAACAATCCCTAAAGCTTTCCATCCCCGGCCTATGAGATTCCTAAACCCTAAACCCTGGGCCTATGAGACTCCCTTCTCGGATCCCTTCATTGCCTATGAGATTCCGGCCATGGACTTTGGCCAGCTCGTTCTGGGAGATGTCGAGCAGGCCGTAGCCCTTCTTCCTCCCAGTGGGGGGCATTTCGGGATCTTTGGGGGTTCGTTTAAAGGGGTTCTATAAGGGTTTAGGGGTTAGGGGTTTAGGGTGTTTTTTCGGTGGCTTTTGGGTGGTTTTGGGGGGTTCCTTTAAAGGGATCTATAAGGGCTCCTTAGAGGGATCTATTGCCGCAATGTAGCCCTTCTTCCTCCGGGGCGTTTCGGGCATTTCGGGGTCTTTGGGGGTTTCGTTTAGAGGGGTTCTATATGTTTAGGTTTTATTTTTGTGGCTTTTGGGTGGTTTTGGGGGGTTCCTTTAAAGGGTTCTATAAGGACTCCTTAAAGCCCTTCTTCCTCCGGGGCTTTTTGGGTTTTGGGGCTTAAGGGTTCTATAGGCTTCTATAAGGGCTCCTTAAAAGGATAAATTGCCGTAATGTAGCCCTGCTTCCTCCCGCAGGAGGGCTTTTTGGGGTCAGGGCTTCGGTGAGCACGGGGCCATGGCCGCCGTTGAAAGCTTTCGAACAAACTTGGGTTTAGGGTTTAGGGTTTAGGGTTTAGGGTTTAGGGTTTAGGCACCTCCGCAGCGATGGCCTTGACCAGACTTGTGAACTTGGCTTTCTAAAAGATTGGGGCGTGGATATGGGAGTTTCCGAAAATTAGGGGTACCTGATTTGGGGGTCCTTATAACAAGGATCCTATTATTAGGGTACTCAAAAAAAGGTCCCCTGTTTTCGGAAACTCCCATATTGTCCTGAAAGAACCGGCTTTGATCTTCGGCTTTACGCGCCCCCCCCATCCTTCCAGTGGGCACAATGCTTGCAGGGCTGGCGCTGTTCGACGGCCGACCCCCCTTCGGATTCTCGGATTGATGCGGCGTTCTGGAAGGTTCTCGTCGTCTTGATTAATCTTGGGCTCATACAAGAACGACGTCACGACGACCAGGATTCTAACTCATTCGCGAAGAAGCAATGGCATCCACCAAAGCGGAAGGAGATTGCTGCCTTCTTGCACCTGCTTCTGCTTCCGTGAAGCACTCGGCATGGCTCGCGTCAAGAAGAACACCCCGCTGACCGCTGTCTGTGAGTAACATTGCTGCCACACGTTGGTAATTGCAGGTGGTGCTGCGTTTTCCACCTGTAATGAAAACGCTTGGTCCGAAAGGGTTTAGGGTTTAGGGTTCACAGAGTCTTCCTCCGGGCTTTGGGGGTTGCCTTTACGGGTTCCTTTAACCTCCAAGTACTGGGTGATTGCCAGGGAGTCCAGTTTAAGTTAGCACAGCTGGGCTCCCTTCGTCCGTCTCGCACCGCCGCAGCGGCGAGGCTTCTAGAGAACACCCTACCTACAACAGGGCTCTTTAGCAAATACTAATTTGGCTTCCATACCGTTGATGGACAAATCCTGCATTACCCGTTATAAGGAATATACCATAGTTCCCATAGTTCAGAGTCCTTAGGGTCATGCAGGATTTTGTCCATCAACAGTACAGATATGGCTTCCATACCATGGTCAGCAAACCCAAGAACCCAGCATGTGGGTGGTTGCCAAAACGGTCCATGTCGGAATCCCAAACCGTGGTGTGCTGTATTCAGCGTAGAAATGTATAGGGCTCCCCAAACGGATCATGATCTTGACAGTTACCCTGAACACGCTTAAACCCACACCACTAGGTTTTGGGCTGCATGATGGTTCAGTCATGGTTTTATAGAACATATAGTATAGTATGAGACAGAACTCGGATGGGATAGGATAGAACAGGACAGGATAGGATATAAGTTATAAGAGAACCGCCCCATCGTGTAGGGGTTTGGGGAATTAGGACAGATTTTGGTTTGTAGGTATGTTAAGCAGCCCTAAGGAACACTAGTTGTAAATACCTAAACCGTTTAAACCGTAGGCCCCAAAGCCTTAAACCCACAACCCACCGGGTCCGCCCAACCCCAGCACACCGCAGGCCCAAACCATATCTTGAACCCTAACCCAAACCCCTATACCGTGCAAGCCCAAACTAAAACCTTGAACCCCAAATCCATACAGTAACCCTGCGAATCCAAATAAAAATTAAATCCGTAAAGCCGTGAAACCCTTTGCCTGAAATCCAAAGCCTTGAACCCTGCACGAGCCACAGCCTCATGGTGTTCATGACCTCTTCCTTGTCCTCAACCGAGGAAGCCTGCAGATGGGTTGGCCCTTCAAAGCCCCTCAATAAGGGACACCCTAAAACCCCCTAATTAAAGAATATACCTTAAATCTAACCAGGAGTCCTACGCGAATTTAAGGTGTATATTTTTTAATTAATGGGCTTTGAAGGCTCTGGGAATGATGGAAATTCTAACATATCGCAGAGGCGTTCCTAGGCATGGGGTCTCGAGAATCTGACGACTCCCTTGGGGCTGAGGCTGCAGGGAGGTAAATGTAGGATTTCATCAGGCCCCCAAAAGGGCATAAACATTTTACAATTATGTCCCTACTTATTGGGCTACATTATAAACGGATTCATATGGGAAGTCCCTATATTAGAGTTTAGGGTTTAGGGCCCCCAGCGTCGCCTGGAAGGCGATGAAGACATCAGCGAGATCGCCACTGATGCGGTAGGAACACTCCTGCGAGACCCCCGAACTCCCACACCCCAAAACAAACAAGTGAAACCCAGAAACAACCTCCACCCCCAAACTCCAAACCCCAGAAAATCCTACGGCTCGGAACACTGTCAACCAATTGCTCCCGCTGTGGGCTTACAGCTTTTAGGCTCGAGAACCCGAAACCCCTCCCCATTCGCCGTCCGTGACGTTGCGGGGGAAGATGCAGTTGTACATGCTCCTTGGCCCACGGACCAACAGATGCATGTTCAGAGTTCTGGATTGAAGACATTACTCGGAGGGGCAGGGGACTTAGTAAGTAGGTTACAAGTAGAATGATAAGTACTCTAAAGGGAGTTACCCCAATTATAGCACTACTTATACCCATACTTACTAAGTCCCCTGCCCCTCCAAGTAGGGTCTGCAAGCCCAAAAAAGCCCGAAACCCTAAGTTGTACAACACACAAAAGAAACCTCGAAAACGCGAGGCCCCGATAGCTCCAACACAGAGCCGCCCCACGGCACTAGAAATATGGCGCAGGGGATTGGGGTTTCCGGTCTATTGTCTACAGTTTAGGGTTTAGGGTCTTTGGTCCAAGGTATAGGGTCCAGAAGTTTGAAAGCGTTTCTAGTTGGTACAGCTTTGCCAAACGCAGCTTGCGGACAAAGGATCACATTACCTGTCAAGGAACCATCTGATCCCTTTAAAGGCAAAAGCTAGGCCGGTGTCGGAGTCAGCCGTGGCAGGAAGAGCTTCTTCAACCACAGCTTCGGTCAGAGCTGCAGCAAATGAGAATGAAATCAGTGCTGGTAAACCTGTGGATGTCAAGCTTCTCGACATTGTTCCGAGATAGGCGAGGCCATCAAGGATGGACGGGAGGCCTGCGTCCGTTGACAGCTTTGGTCTCAGCAAGAGTTTGAGGTAAGAAGGAGCTTTCTGATAACTTATAACCGACTTCTAGCTCCTTGAGAAAGATGAACTTTCTCTTTCCTAGAAGGCTCTTGGTTAGGTCGAGCTTCATGAGAAATGAAGCCTCGAACTGGTCGGATAGTAGTCTTCTCGCTTCTTCAACTTCGCCCTGAGTCATCAATGCCGTTGGACGATGCAAGACGTTGACAGAGTCGTCCATGTATAGCAGCGCCTCGGCTCTTGGCTCTAATATTCATAGGGATCCTTAGGGGTGTAGGGGGAGGGGGGGTAGGGGGCCTTAAGGCCCATAATAAGGACTAATAAGGCCTATTTAAGGAAATATAGTCCCCTACACCCCTGCCCCCTACACCCCTAAGGATCCCTATGAAATATGCCTTCACGGACCAGGTTGGCCACTGTGTCGCGCCACATCCCTGCATGGATGGCACTGTCAGCAAACACAGTGGACCCCTGAAATGTTCCATTTTTGATGGGGCGCTCCGTACCTTCTAAATGAGAGGACATATAGTAGAGGCTTTCTATCATTTCGAGCCAATGCCCTGCCTCAAACCCCAAAAACCATGGCATGTGGATATCTCCAATTCTCTCGCTTCATCGAAGGGGACCAGCCCTGGATGTCCGTAGACACTAGGGTTTAAGATTTAGGGTTTACGGGTTTACGGGTTTAGGGGTTTAGGGTTTAGGGGCATTTGAAAACCATAAAATCCTGTGGAACCCCTATGAACTCGATCCAACTCTTGAAACAAAACATGTGCGAAGTTCTGCAAGGTTGGGTCGTATTTACGGTCCTCCTATACGGCACGGCCTTCCTTGGGGGACGAACTAGCCCAAAACTTCTCCAAGCCTAAACCCCAACCAGGAAGCCGACTTTGGAAAACTGCCCTCAAAAGTACCCTTATGGAAAACTGCCCTCAAAAGTACCCTTATGGAAAACCCTTATACAGTAGAAGCCAGAAAGTTGGAACATCATGATCCTTATTCCCTTAAGGTAACCTAGGGAGAATCCTAGCACTCATCATCCTAAAATCATGTTCCAACTTTCTGGGGTTCACTGTAGATCCCTTTAATGAGGGAGCCCCAAAACGATCACAATTTAGAGAACTACCCACATAACGAAACCAACCCGAGCTGCAGGAAGGAACCCACCGTCTCCGGGATCTGGACAGCCTGGGGGTCCGTTGTCATGAACTACTACCCAGAGAGCCCAATACCCCTTGATTAAGGAATATGGCTTAAATCATCATATGAAGCCCTATATAATTTTAAGCCATATTCCTTAATTAAGGGATACTGGGCTCTCTGGGTATAGAGGCCTTAATAATTAGAATAGGGTTCCTTTAAGGGGTTCCTTTAAGGGGTTCCTTAAAGGGTCTATAGGGGATCTATAGTAGAGTTCGATAACGTACGTTGTCATGAACTACGGACATTTTGCTTTCTTCTTCGAAGGTTTTGTAGGGTTGTGTCAGGGTTCCCGAAACGTTGCGTAAGGGCTTCATGAGTTTGTAAGGGTGTAGATAAGGTTTCGTAATGCTCTATGCGGGACTTAGAAGGGTTGCCTAAGGGGCCCAGAGAGCCAAATACCCCTTACTTAAGGGATACGGCATAAATTATATAGGGCTTCATAAGATGATTTAAGCCATATTCCTCAATTAAGGGGTATTGGGCTCTCTGGGGGTGTAGAAGGGTTTTACGAAGGTCGTGTATGGTTTTACGGCGGCCTGAAGGATTTACAGGGTTTTGCATTGGTTTTCGAAGAATGTATAGGGTTGCCATACATGCCTTAGTGAACAAAGAACCGCATTTAGGGAACTGCCCGTCTAGAGTTTGGAGTTGATTCCGGTCTATGCCGATTCAAGTTGAACAACTTGGAGGATCATGGGACTTAGTAAGTATGGTTATAAGTACCTTAACTGGGGTTTGAAATAAGTATATTTACCTTGGTAGTAACCCTAGTTCCTAAGTCCCATGACCCTTTAAGAAGGCACGCCTTTGGAAGTCGAAGCCACTAAACATCATAGGGAAAATACGTGCAATCAGTTTCGCACAGCAGACCTGAAGGGAATGGCCTCGGTAGCAGATACATAGTCGTAACCCCGAGACCTTGCAATCCCAATGCAAAGGATTTAAGGTTCAGGGCTTAGGGTACTTGTAGGGGACCCGAAACCCTCAAATCCTACTTGGAGGGGCAGGAGACGTAGTAAGTAGGTCATAAGTAGAGTTATAAGTACCCGAAATTGGAGTTAGCCAATTACAACCCTACTTATAACCATACTTACTAAGTCCCCTGCCCCTCCAAGTAGACCCTAAACCCCTAAACCCCATAGATCCCTTTAAGGAACCCTATAGATCCCTTTAAGGAGCCCTTTAAGAGCCCTTACTAAAGTAAGTTTAAGGCCTCATGGCTCAGAGTCTAAGCCAAGGCGTGTTAGGCTACAGGGCGAAGCCTGTGGACAAAGCACCCTACCTCAACCTGCTTGAAACCCACCGTTGTACGTTCGCAAAGTACGAAAACCCCTTAGAACCATACAAAAAATAATATGTATGATGTTCTCTTAGGTTTTATATGAACCCAAACAGAACCAGGTGCCGGTCGGCTAAGGATGGCCGCAGATTAGCCTGCTGGGTACTTTGAGGATCATGGGACTTAGTAAGTATGGTTATACAGCTATGCACAAGGACCTTAATTGGGGCTATAAGAGATTATAAGTACAGTTACCGTAAAAATCCTCGTCGCTACGTCCCATGATCCTTTAAGCAGACCCTGAATCCCCGTTATAGAACCCCTATAGATCCCTTTCAAGGAGCCCTTTAGGGAACCCTCAATCCGCTGGGCAACCAGGCCCCTGCTTGTGGCTGCAGGCTTACCCAGACCCCCGGGAGGATCTATGTTCCTTAATTGAGGGATATGGATTTTTGGAACCCCCGTTAAGGGATCTACTTTGTGGATCCTCCCTGGGGGTCTGGGTAGTGCAGAACCTCCAAAAGCATCTCAGACACCAAGGTTTAGGGTTTAGGGGGCTTAGGGGGTTTTAGGGTTTAGGGCATTTAGGTTTTAAGGGGGTTTAGGGGGTTGACTGTTTAGGGTTAACCTCGGAGTGGACCCTGCCAGAGCCTATGAAGGTCAATGGCATTAAATTCTCAAGAGCTCTCCGCAGGGTTTAGGGTTTAGGGTTTAGGGAATCAACAATTAACGCACTTCCTGCACATCGGACAAGAGCTGCGTTAAAGCCATTCGGGTAGTTGTCAAAATTATATATATGCCCCTTTTGGGGTACCCTAAATATTAGGTGCCGTATTATATTACGGACCCAAAGAGGGACTCTAGTTTTGACAATCGCGCATTCGGGGTTTGGGATTTCGGGCCCCCTAGCGACTCCCATAACTCCTGTACGCCCTGCAAGATTTGATTCAGCTCACAGAAGCTGAGCTCTTAAGCCCAGCAAGAGCCTCCAATTCCAGGAGAGTTGAAAACCTGAAAACCCTAATAAGATCCGTAAAGCCTATTCGAAAGATTAAGGCCCCCATGTTTTTAACTCTAAGGGATCGGCACTCTCCCAAAACCTAACCGAAACAACCAAACTCAGGTTTAGGGGCTCACCTTGAGCCCGAAAATACAACAATCAGGTCCGCGTCGCCAGGTGAGTCTCGCTGGTATCTGCACGCTCCGACACGAAGCGTAGCCGATCGAAGTCCTCTCAGAGCCGTAGAAAGCCCTAGTACCCGGACCCTAGTAATTAGGATAGGGACTCGAGGGTATGTAAACGCACACAAAAAAAGATGAGAAACCCTAAGGAATAATCTATAGTGAGCCGACGCCTCTCTGCAGGGCAACACCCCAAACACATCATGTTGCAGCTCCATCAAGATCATCAAGGGTACTCTTCTTATCTCTCGAGAGTTCTGTATGATGTAACATAGACCCTACACCCTGAAACCCTATCTCCTGAGATGTCTGCATCATGTAACATAAACCCTAAACCCCAAACCTTAAAACGCTGTCTCTTGAGATGTCTATATCATGCAACCCTAAAATTCCCTAAGAGGGCCTGTGTGCGCAAATAGAACATACTTTGGCCTCAAAGCACCTATTTAGGGACCATTTTGCCAAAGTATATACTATTCGGGTACATGGACCCTTACATACCCTACATATCCCAAAACCCTCATGGTACCGTTAAAGGAACCCGTCAAAGGAGCCCTTAAAGGAAAACTTATGGGTACATGGACCCTTACGGCAACATTTCCGGAATGAACTTAATTCGCATAAGCATATCCCCCGATACCCTAAATCTGCAGCACAAACCCTAAACCCTAAACCCTCAACTCTAAGCCCTAACCCCCAAACTCTAAACCCCAAACCCAGAACTCTGAATCCTAAACTTCAACCCCTAAAGGATGACAGGCTTTGGGTCGAGTTTCTGGGAGCGCCGGGTGCCCAAACTGCGATGTCTTCTGTCGCGGGGGGCTTACTTAAAGGATCATGGGACTTAGTAACAAGGGTTCCTTAAATGGGCTCCTTTAAAGGGATCTATAGGGGTTCTATAAGAGGGGTTTTAGGGTCTACTTAAAGGCTCATGGGACTTAGTAACTAGGGTCATTATTAAGGTACCTATACTTATAATTTTTTTATAGCCCCAGTTAAGGTACTTATAACCGTAATTACTAAGTCCCATGATCCTCCAAGTATAGGGGGATCTATAGGAGCTCATGAGACTTAGGGTTCCTTGTTAAGGGTTCTATCATAGGGTGTACCTCTGGCCCAAAAGACCTACCTTTTTTAAGGAACTATATATGGAAACCAGAATAAGCCATCCTAAGAAGGCTGGTCTGTTCGGCCACAGGTAGGGCTTGGGGTTTTGGGTTGGGGTCTAGGGTTTGCGTTTTTTGGTTGGGGTTTTAGGGCTTGAAGGGTTTCGGGTTGGGGTTTAGGGTTTAGGGTTGTTTGCTGGAGAGGGGGTGGGCCTTGGGTGCTGCTAGTCGCTACCGGCAAACCCTAAACCGGCAAACCCTAAAACTCCAAAACCCTGCCCTAAATCACGAAAGCCCCAAAAACCCCAAGCCTACAGCCCTAAGCCCTAAATCACGAAAGCCCAAAAACTCTAAATCCCTACAGCCTGCCCTAAATCCCGAAGCCCTAAAACCCTGAAACCCCAAAACCCTGCTTGAGCGGTCCATGTTCGCGCCGCTCGTCACAGCCACAAGGGCACCACCCTGGCTGCCGCGGCTTCCGGCTTTAGGGTTAAGGGCTTGGGTCCAGTTCGAGGCTCAGGAGAACGAACAGACAGAAAGAAACAAAGAAATGCAAGAGAAACAGAGACAGAGAGAGAGAGAGAGGGAGAGAGAGAGAGCGAGCGAGCGAGAAAAGCATAAAAACAAGGAAGTTTTATCAGTGCTCAGTCGGAAATACCCTCACCACGAAAGCAGCAATCGGAACTAGTCCACCTCTTGCGCTCATATCTTCCATCCCGAAAAACTCCCTAAACCCTATAAACCCGGCAAATCCTATAAACCCTATAAGCCCTATAAATCTTATAAACCCTGTAACGCCTACAAACCCTACTGTTGATGGATTTTGCATGACCCTTAGGACTCTAAACTGTGGGAACTATGGTATATTCATTATAATGGGTAATGCAGGATTTTGTCCATCAGCAGTATGAACCCTAAAGCCTACTCGTCTAGATTTTGGGGTATCGGTTTGGGCCCTCAGGTTTCCCCAGGGCTCCCAAATTTTGAGTTCCTCAACACAGAGCCACCGGATTTAGGGCGTTAGGGTTTAGGGGTTCAGGTTTAAAAGTGTAGGGTTCAGGGGTCTAGAGGCTTAGGGGTTCGGGATTTTAAAGTTCAGGGTTTAGGAGCAGGGTTTCAGATAGCCTTTCAAGGCGCCCGCTAGAGCCAAGCAGCCAAGCGGTTCATGGGACTTAGTAACAGTTATAAGTACCTTTGTTGGGATTATAAGTACATATAAGTGTAGTTACCTTAATTATAACCCTAGTTACTAAGTCCCACGATCGGCTCAAACTCATGCCAGACTTGTTCCCAAGACTAAGACTGCAGGTCCTGGATGGGGGCATGGACCGAAGTCCTATCATCCATGTGCAGAAGCTGATGAGACTGCGGAAGAGCAGCACAAGCCTCCAGACAAGATCAAAAAACAGCAAGGGGAGCGGATGCGTCCCCCTGCAACAGAGGTTTGCAGTGGGAGATGGGCCCTGGTAGACACACCCTCCATAGCTAATCCATCGATCATGGTGTTTCCACATGGCTGCGAGGGCCCACAGAACCCCGCCAGGAACACCTGCCCGGTTCAGCAGAGCCCAAGCCCCTTTATGATGCGAGCTGTCGAAAGCTTTCGCGTAATCGGGACTAATCCCAGTGGCTGGAAGCCGTAGAATCCTCGATGAGGCTCAAGAGGAGTGTCCCCTAAACCCTAACCCCTAAACCTTAAACCCTAACCGCTCAAGGGTAGGAAGGCCGGCAGCTTGAGAGGACCAAGCAAGGTCCCTAAAGGAAAGAGCCCTCAGAGCCTAGCCGATTATCCGTGCCTTGCCCTAAACCCGAAATCTAAACTCAGCTTGAAACCCAGAACTCGAAACCCCCAAACTGCGAGTCGACTTAGGAACTGGGTCCTGGCAGCCCCGAAGGATTTCGTGGGTAGGGTCCAAAGTTCAAGGATCACTGCTGTGTAGAGTTTAGGGTTTAGGGTTTAGGGTGTAGGGTTTAGGGTTTAATGGAGGACCAAGAATTTCAGAGCAGTTGAAGTGCGTGGGAATGGACTAGGCTTCGGGCCAACTTACACTACCAAGGTAGCTCAAAGCCCCCAGCCACTAACCTACAACCGGTATAGTTAAAGGGTCATGGGACGTGGTCACTAGGGTTATGTTAAGGTAACTATACTTACAATTACTTATAACCCCAAGTAAGATACAACCATTATAATACCCATACTTGCTGAGTCCCATGATCCTCCAAGTGAACCGCACCCAACACCCCAAACCCCGGAACGCTGAACCCAAAACCTTGAGAACTTCATCAGAAAGCACTTACAAAACTCCTAGATTGTAGAACCACATAAAGCTCTAGTCTTACAAACCCAGAAGCCTCACAACGCCCGTAAGAAACGTGCAAAAAAACAAGAATCCTGGCAAAACGTCGCAAAAACCTGCCAAAAACCATTGCAAAACCCTAGCAAAAAATCAAAACAATACATGAAAACCGAACCCTGGACAAATCTGCAAACAGAAACCGGCCTTACTGCTCTGCTGGGCGTAGCGCTTGAGACCGGCGGTGGCCAGAGCCCCTGCCGGCTCTAGGACCACGCCTTCGTTCATGCAGCGCTGTTTTTGGGTGGAGGGGGCTAGGGGGATTGTAGGATTTAGAGTTTAATGAGTTTAATGTTCGGGGTTTTCGGCTTATAGGGATCCTTGGTGTGCTTCCATCCCTTCTATAAAAAGTAGCGGGAGCCGTGGGTGTAACCAATGAACCCAACGCTCCATGCTCCTGTTGTAAACAAAAAGGCAGCCCTATTTTTACAGGTCCCATGTGTGCTGCTTCTGTTTTGGGCGAGGCTTGCGAAGTCCAGCGATCACTAAGACCAAGACCCACTTGGGCGCAAGTTGTAGGCAGATGGTGATGGCACATGAAACTTGAAAGACCCGGGAGCTGAAACAAGGCAGCCGAACGCGGAAGGCATGCGCCTTTACTGAAATACAAGGTAAATACCACATTATGCGCAAATACTACTATGTCGTTGCCGTCGTGCAACACTTCTGCTGAAATCTTTCAAACGTCAGTACTTAGTATGGTACAAATGTTCGCGGTGGGCGTGCGCAATGCAAACATGATGCCGACTCTGACACTGAATATTCCATCAAGTTTGTCGGGGTTCAGGGTTTAGGGTTTTAGGGTTTAGGGTTTTAGGGTTTTAGGGTTTAGGGTTTAGGGTGATTGCCACACTTACACATACACATATCTCTCTCACTTGACGATACTGTTTGACTCAGTGTTGTGGTGCGACTTGCGAATGCCGGTCAACCGCCGCACAGATTCCCAGAGAATCTACAGCCGATTCATGAAGAAACTTAACTTCAATGATAGGAGGAACCCCTGACAAGATTTCAGATGGATTCCTCAATTAATCGGTTTTGGAGTCTCTGGGTTCATGGCCAAGGTTAGTGGCTGATGTGCGCTGAAGATTTGGCGTTTGGCGCACAGCCCCCCAATGATCAGTAAAAGGTACCGGTACAAGGTATAGAGCATCGAATCTAGAGCCTCAGTGCTGGATGCAAGCACTGGCCCGGAGCTGGCAGGATCATCCTCTTATCACCATAGAGAACGGCGCACATTTCCGTCTCAGCACAAATCCAGACTTCAACGGCAGGTCATGCAAGACTTTGGACTGTACTTTTGTCATGAATGCGGTCACGTGCGGCAGCTTCAAGATACCCTTGTGAGAAGCAGAACAAAACTTTTTTGGAAACCCTCAACTTCACACCCTAACTCATAAACCCGATAAACTTATCAGACAGGGCAACTGTGAAAAGCAAAACAAGACCTTATTCGGAAACCCTAAACCCCCAATCCTAAATCCCAAACCCGATAAACTTATCAGATGGGGCAGCCCCCCCCCCCCTCACTGAAACTGTCCTTGCAAGACCTCCTAGACCTAGGGTCCAAAAGCGATAAGCCTGCATGGCTGCCCCACACGAGATTGAAAGCTTTACTGCACGCAAAAGCAATGCTTCAAGCCCTACACACCCTACACCCTTCCCCCCAAAAAAATTTGAACACCCTAACAACGCTAACGACTGAAAATATGTTTAAAAAGCTACACGCAAAATCCCCGAACATTCAGAAGCCGGAAAACCCGAAGAGCACCCAAAGAAAAACCAAAGCCCTGACCTAAACCCTAAAAACAACTCAACAACACTCTTTCGAACAAACACATGCACCGCCAAAAAAAAGGCGTTCGACATGAAATTGCTTCCGTTCAAGCATCATTTGGCCCAGTATGAAACTCAGTGATACAGGGGCCTTCAGAATGTCAATAATGTAGGGATCCTTTTAAAGGGTTCCTCAGGGGTCGTTCAGGCTGACTCCAGTGATCGAAACAAAGCTTCTGGGCACGTTGTGCTGTAAATAGGTTGAAACCCCTAAGGAACATTACTTGGAGGGCCAGGGGACGTAGTCAGTATGGTTTTAAGTAGAGTTATAAGTACCCTAAATGGAGTTTACCCCAATTAACACCCTACTTATAACTGTACTTACTAAGTCCCCTGCCCCTCCAAGTAACGTTACTGGTAATCCTTCAGTTCAGGCTCCTAGGTTATGACGACCTTCCTTGAGCTTTGCTTTGAATGCAAGGCTTACGGTTTAGGGCTGAGGATTCACGGTTTGGGGCTTGCGGTTCAGGGTGCAGGGTGTATAGGGTTTAGAGTTGAGGGTAAACTTCTCAGCGCAGGCTACAATGGACGGTCGGGACAGTTTCGGGGCCGTAAGTAAGCACAATGGGGTCTTGTGCTACTCACGTGTAGTTGCAATATGGAAACCTAAGAAACCAAAACATGCTTACCCAGATAATCCTCAATGCAACTATAGTATACTCCTACCTGCACCCTACTGCACTTAGTGAGGCCCTAAAATAGATACTGCGCAACCCTGATAGTATCGCATGTAGACCCATGTAGCAGGAACCCTGAACGGAACACGATTATAATTGTGCAGGCCCCGATTTTGCAAGGCCTGACTCCCTTAGCCCTTAAACCATAAGACACTTAAACTCCCAATACTAGCCACTCAAACCCAAGAGATCTTCCAGGGCTCAACCGGTCGAAACCGTAACCCCTAAATAAAGCCTAAACCCTGAACCCTCAACCTAAAGCCCAAACCCTAAAGCGAGAGAAGGCCAGCGGCCAGAGATTGCAGCGCAAGCGGCGAGTGTCTATGAAGGAGTCTTTGATTGCAGCGCAAATCTCGTCCTCCCAAGAATACCCCGAGGCCTCCAGTTACCCAAATAGTGGGCTTGGTGACCTAATTCGTAGGTTACCGGAGAGTTTGGGTACCACAGATTATAGAACTTAACTCTTATAGAACCCTTATAGATCCCTTACAGAACCCTTATTGAACCCTTATAGAAGCTTTTTAGAGCTCTTGTAGAGCCCTTACAGAACTTCTATGATGTAGGAACCTGATTAAGAAACCCTGGGCCTATAACCCCAAAAACAAGATCCATACAAGGAGCCCCAATAAAGGCCCAATAAAGGCCTAATCAGGTTCCTACATTAGAACTCTTGTAGAACCCCCTTGGCTTTGTACAGCCCTCGACGAGCCCTTGCAGATCACATGTCTGGCTTGAATCTCATCCCCTGCCCCTGTTTTGGGTACCTGCTTTCTTATATAGGAAAACCGACAATAACCATAAGACTCATAAAAGGGGCTCAATAACTAGAATAGGGTTTTGAGGCCCACTATACTATATTTATACTTTAATGAGGAACCCCTAAAATAGTATTGGTAATCATTTAGGGCCTACATTAGCCTAACACAGAGGAAGGGTATGACATTCTGGGCCCAGGTAGGTAGAATACAAGGCTTAGCGTTTGGAACATTTGCTCGAAGACCCCACTTGAAAGCAAAAGAAGACCGCAGGCACGGTTCCAGGGTTTAGTCCTGTGTGGCTTTGAGGTTTCGAGTTTAGGGTTTTAAAGTTGACGGCTTAGGGTTTGGGGTTTTGGGTTTCGGGTTCCGGGCTTGAGGGTTTTGGAGGGCACTCTGTCCGTCGAGACATTGATCATCTCGTCCACATGCTCTGAGCACAGCCGGAACGTCTCGTCACCGACTTTCTTAACCTGGAGCAGTTCTGCTTGGAGGGGCAAGGGACTTAGTAAGTATGGCCATAAGTAGAGTTAAAAGTACCCCAGATGGAGTTACCCCAAATATAACCCTACTTATAACCCTCCTTACCAAGTCCCCTGCTCCTCCAAGTGTATCCAAGGGTAAAAGGAGGGACCCTTAATAAGGACCCCCAGGTTCTTTGGGCGAGCTGCTGGACTCCGAAGACTCCTCTTTCACTTCGCCCGCGGGGCTTGTGGCAGCGTCTGCTGCCTCCGGCGCTTCAGCGCCGGCTTTCGCTTGGGGAGCGTTGGCCGGCCGCTCCTTAGGCGTGCGGCTTCTGACGGCCGAGCTTTCATCCTCGCTCCCCTGTTTGGGCGAGGATTCTGCATCCCCCTGAGAAGGAGGTTCTCGTTCCCCCCGTTGTGGCGGCGGGTTTGGTGCCTCCGGTCGTTCTTGACCTGCGCGGCTGCTTGTAGCGGGCGCGGTCTTGGGTGACCTGCTGCGCTCGTCTTCCTCTTCAGAGTATATACCCTTAATATAGCTATTATATACCCATTATACGGTCCATTATAGGGTAGAGGTCCCCATTAAGGGTCCCTCTTTTTCCCCTTTGATTAAACTAAACCCTAAACCCTATAGATCCCTTTAAAGGGACCCTTATAGATCCCTTTAAAGGAACCCTAAGAGCCTAAGGGTCCCTCCTTCTCCCCTTTGAGTGTAGGGCTTTACGCCTTCCTCGGACCAACTGTGACTTGAGAGTCGACAGAATTGCTATCCGGTCTCGGGGCCGATGGGATTAGGGTTTGGGGTTTAGGGTTTATAGGGTTTAGGGTTTAGGGTTTATAGGGTTTAGGGGTTTAGGGTTTAGGGTTTAGGGGTCTAGGGTTTAGGGTTTAGGGTTTAGGGTTTAGGGGTTTAGGGGTTTAGGGTTTAGGGTGTGTCGATGCTCCGCGCACACCACCA